CCTCTCTCATCTCTTTTGGGGGAGGGAAAAGGAAAACAAACACACACACACACACACACATACACACACACACACACACACACACACACACGCACACACGCACCCCTGGCCCTGCCTCCCCTGATGTCTGAGGCAGGAAGCACGGAGTCTCTTAAAGCCACAGCAGGTGTGTCCTCGCAGGGAACCAGCATGGGGAGCGGCTGAGGGTGAAGGTGAGTCTCTCACGGCCCATCCACGTTTCTCCCTCCTGTCTTCTCCCTCTCTGAAAAGTAAAACAAAACAAAAAGATAAGCCTCTTAGTAGAGAAGTGACCTGCCCACTTAGGAATTCATGGTCAGAGGACACTGTGAGTGCACTTTCCACAGACCACTTTTTTTTCCATCCACAGATTTTCAGACCTAACCTTAGTCTAGCATTTCTTTTTGTTTGTTTGTTTTGTTTTGTTAATCTTCACAGACTCTATTTTTCTATTGATTTTTTTTTTTTTATAAAGTGGAAGGGTGGGAGAGAGATAGGAGAAACACCAATGTGAGAGACACATTCATTGGTTGCCTTCTACATGCGTCCTAACCAGGGCCAGAGATATGTGCCCTTGACTGGAATCGAACCTGGGACCTTTCAATCTGTGGGCCAATGCTCTATCCACTGAACCAAACCAGCCAGGGCTAGTATATCTTTTATACCAGAGAGACTTATGTCTCAAAGGGACCAAACATAATACAGAGATATTAAAAATGTGGGTGTCGGGGCACATGCCCAGGTTGCATGCTCAATCCCCAGTGAAAGCTGTGCAGGATGCAGCCGATTAGTGTTTCCCTCTCATCAATGTTTCAATTTCTCTGTCCCTCTCCCTTCAATAAAATCACTAAAAACATTTAAAATATATAGTTAGATAGATATAGACAGATATAGATATAGATAGATAGATAGATAGATAGAGATAGATAGAGATAGAGATAGAGATAGAGATAGAGATAGAGATAGAGAGATAGAGATAGAGATAGAGATAGAGATAGATAGAGATAGATATAGATATAGATATAGATATAGATATAGATATAGATATAGATATAGATATAGATATAGATATAGATATACTAGGGGCCCAGTGCATGAAATTTGTGCACTGAGGGGGGAGGTCCCTCAGCCCAGATTGCAAGAGGGCACAGGCCAGGCTGAGGGACCCCACCAGTGCACAATTGGGGCCAGGGAGGGGCGCAGGAAGTTGGCCAGCCAGGGAGAGACCACAGGAGGGCTCCAGGGTATGTCCAGCCCATCTCACTCAGTCCCCATTGGCCGGACTCCAGCAGCAAGTTAACCTACGGGTCAGAGTGTCTGCCTCCTGGTAATCAGTACACATCATAGTGAGTGGTTGAGCGGCCTTAGCATATCATTAGCATATTATGCTTTGATTGGTTGAACAGATGACTGAAAAACCAGACCCTTAGCATATTAGGCTTTTATTATATAGGATGGGTGACCGTGGACTTTCTGGTTTTCCTGGGCTTCATAGAATGCTAAGATCAAAGGGTGAAATGGGCCCCAAAGAAGATAAAGGATTACCTGGATTTTATGGTAAAAAGAGAATAAAAGGTGACAAGAGGAAGCTGGTTTGCCTTTCCTTCCCAGAAGTGCCTGGGAGCCATGCCTGATCACCCATCCGGATACACTCACCACCATCACCCATCACTGTGTCTCCCTCTGCTCAGTGTGCCCACCCCATCACTGAGTCAATATGAACCCCCACCCTTGGCCTTTCAAATGCCAACCCCCCAACCATGGTCACGCCCATCCCCAGAACAATGATAAGGATACAACTTCCCAGCATAAGGATCAAGTCATGGTGATGGCTTCCAGGGGATGCTTTCAGGAGATTCTCCCATCCCAGACCCCACAGCCCTCTCCCGAGCCCACCTGAGTCCCCTTGACACTTCCGTCAGAAAGACACTCCAACTCACTGGCTGTATTTACCCTGGCAGGGGGTCAGGGTCGCAGGGGGTCAGTGTCTATGTCGGAGGTGTACTCCAGCGATGAGGCCGCCTTCTCCAGGTTCTTCCTGACAAAAATATGGAACACTTCATGAATTTGAGCATCATCCTTGCACAGGGGCCATGCTAATCTTTATATCATTCCAATTTAGTATTGCCAAAGCAAGCACAACAAACTGATTCTAAAAGTTATTGTGCCAGATGGGTACTGGAACTATCTGGGAGAACGGTTTGTGAAGTATATGATTGATTGTCTAATCACTGTGATGTACACCTGAAACCAATACAAATAATATTTTTCAAAAGGACGGTGCCCTCAATAAACACTTGTTGGATTTTTTTTAAAGAATAAAAAGTAAATAAAAGATATGTGGAAAGCCAAAAGACTTAAAAACCAAAATAATATTTCCTTAATTGACATCAAGACCTTCGATAGCCTGTAGTAGTTAAGTCATAAGGATACACAAAGAGATCAGTAGCACAGAAGAGAAAAATCCAGAAATATACCCATACTTATATGTAAATGGATGTTTTCCTTAACTTTGGGTAGACAAAGATTTCTTATTACACTAAAGTTATTAACCACACAAAAAAATAGATTTGGCTTCATCAAAACTATTTCTCCACATCAAAACACATAGTTATGAAAATGAAAGGCAAACTGGCAGAAAGTATTTCCAATACATATATCAAACATGGTGCCTCCGGGAACATGGTGAGCATGGTGCGAGGGCAGGCATCCCCTCACACTTCCTCCTGGGGAGATGGCCTGGCCGGCTCTGGGCATGTTGATGCAAACCCAGTGTGGGGAGAGAGCCAGGGGGTGGGCTCTCAGATCTTTTCAGATCCAGATTTGGAGCCAGGATCGGGCGGGGTTAGAGGACTCTGCCCAGCTTCTGTGCCTTGGGGGCATGGGCTCCCAGGAGCCATCTGCTTTGCATCCTAAAGCTCTGGCCTCTAGGGTGCCCCTCCCACCCTATGTATTTTTCCATCCTTTGGTATCAGCCGCCAGAGTGCAACCATAAGATTTTATGACTTTCTGACTCATCTCTGCACTGTCCCCTTGAGGCCCCCCAGTGAAGCTGACAGAGCTAATTTCTTTCAGCAGAAGTTGGGCAGGGTTGTGGGAAGGGGGAAGGTATGTGATCAGGCTTCCCCCTTCTACTTAATTTCTGTCCCCAGCCCTTTGTCAGTTCATAGCTCTACTTCCAAGCCCAAAGATGGGGATAAATAACTCCTCAGGTTATTTTTACCTAATAATGCACATTCATAGGCACTTCCAGTTACTGTTTTCCTTTCTTCACCCCTCCTCATAACCCCTCTTCATACCAAATTGTACAGTTTTCCCTGCATGCAGTTATGAAGGTTTTGATAGGAAATTCCTCCCAGATTTTGTCAGCTGAGCCTCTAGGGACAAATATCCTTGATGCTTTATTTCATCAACTAGAGGCCTGGTGCAGGAAATTCGTGCACAGGGTGGGGAGGGGTCCCATGGAGTGAACATGATTAACTTTGTGTGTATGTGTGTGGTAGTGGGTAGTGGTGGGGATGATGGTTGTGCAGTTTTAATTGCTAAAAGCAGGGTGTTTAGCATATTTGTGCTGAGATTTCAGACATATAACCTCTTTAAAAAAAAAAAAAAAACTAAAAAAAAGAAAACCACTTATTTCCACAATATATAACAAACTCCTACACATCAGTAAGGAGTAAAAGATAACACAATAATATAAATAGGACAAAGACTTGAACGGACACTTTACATGAAGATATATAATATATAAAGATACATGAATCGCCAATAAGCATATAAAAATGTGATCAGTCATAAAAGAAATACAAATTAAACCTATTTGAAATAGCATATCACACATTAGAATTAGAAAGGCTATTTCTTATAGATTTTGAAAAACAGTTTGGCAGACACTCTAATGGTTAAACATACTGCTACACAATTTTAATTTTAGCTCTTTCTCCAAGAGGAATGAAAACATCTCGCCACAAAAAGAAGAGCAGCTTTATTTATACTAGTCCCAAACTGGAATCAATCCAAATGTTCATCGATAGGAAAATAAGTAAGCAGATTGTGGTGAAAACATCCAATGGAGTATTCTCTACAATAAAAAGGAACTAACTTCTAATTACCCAAAAACATAGATAATGAACAAAAGCAGTTAGACTCATAAACACACACAAGGTATTATTCTATGTATCAATATGAATCCAGTAACAGGCAATATTAGCATACATTGATAAAAGGACAGCAATGTTTGCCTCTGAGAAGCTGCCTGGCTCCAGGTGATCAGCTTGTGGGTTTTGGGGTTGCTCTGCTCTTCCTTTTTCAAATGATATGTCGGTATTAAGCATCAGGTCCTCCACTGCCTTTAGGATCCCACAGTGCAAGCAGTTGCTTTCCTGATTACTGGGAAATACCCCCTCCTACATTCCTTCATTATTATTTTAGGAGGATTTTCAATAAAAGAGAAGACAAATGCTTCTCTTCATCTAACATCCTTAACCAGAAACATTTTTTTCCAGGAATTTGAAACAATAATGTGACATTATTATTACCTGATGTATATATGCTTATTGGGTACTTTTCTGGTTTGACAAAAATATGTTATGACCCGTCATAACATTTGGAAATATAAGATACTAATTAAAAAACATTGCTATCATAGTAATAAAATGATCAACTAAGAACCAGAATTACAGACTTAAGTTTACAATTACTTTCTTTCACTGGAAACAACGGCAATTTCTGAAGTTTAGATACATAAAAAAAAATTCACATATATAACAAAGCAGAGGTAGATTTATAACAACATAAAGCAGAAATCCCAGAAGAAATTATGATATTCTTGTGAAATACTAACTTTATTCTATATCATTATCAAACCACAACTTTTCAGTTATGAACTACTTTTATAACACAGGGTGATATTTCTCTTAACAGCCTCTACAAACATCTCAGAATCTTGATAACCATTTTCACATGGTATTCCTTTTCCCTAGGATGTCCACAGAAGATCAGAGCATAGACAGTTTTATCTACAATATTATATTCACGCACTTCAAAAGACATAAGGTGGAGATTTCAAGAGCAATAAAAAAAGAATTTCCTTTCCTTCAGATTCTTCGTGACCGTGAACTCATCACCAATAAAATGTATGAAGTAAGTGAGGTTTATTATGTTACAATGACTTAGTAGCCATACAAATATATAGCAATTCTAAATTTTACATTAGAAAGTACCTATGCAGAGAAATTGTAACACATTTACAACAAAATCAATTTCTAGCTCTGGTCTGACTGGCTCAATGGTTAGAGTGTTTTCCTTGAGCACTGTAGGGTCGCAAGTTTGATTCCTGGTCAAGGGCATGTACCTGGGTTGCAGGTTCCCAGCCCCAGTCAGAAGTCCTGCCGGAGGCAACCAGTCACTGTATCCCTCTCTCATCAATGATTTTTCTTTCTCCCTCTCCCCCTCCCTCCTTCCCTTCCCACTCTCTCTGAAAAGCAATGGGGGGAAAATATCCTCTGGTGGGGATTAGCAACAACAAAAATCACTTTCTAGGGCTCTTCTGTAACTTGGAAGTTCATATTTATATTTTCTCGGTTTATTATTTTTAGGATTGTAGAGAATCTTGTAAAAACCTGGTCCCTATTCACATAGTGGTGTACAATGTGCTCGAAAAACTGGAGAAGACATTTGACCTGACACTCCTGGAAGCATTGTTCAGTGAGCCCAACAAAGAGGAATACCCTGACTTAAATAACATTTATAAAAGCTTTGAAAAAGGTAATTAAGTCTATTGTCTACCTCTTGCTGTACAGGAATAACTTTTTTTGGACAAGTATATATTTAGCTCCTACTATGTACCACTCACAGCACTGGGCAGTAGGGATATAGCAGTTAAGAAAATAAACATATCATGAGCCTCTCTAAGTTTTTGATAAAATGGCTTCAATATAAACACCCATCTGCAGGTCTGCTTAACTAGGCATTTAGTGTCACAGGACAACCAGAGCTATGTGGCAGGAGACCTACGTAGAAAGACAAATGACATGAAACTCAGCATCCCAACAGGGCAGCATCAGTGGCTGCTCTTCTGTGGACTCCTTGAAGCTGTCCACATAGCAGTCCACCAAGCTGACTTCCACCCACCACTAGTGACAGCTTAGTTGTGGGATCCACTGTGATTTGGCCATATCATGCCATGGTAGTCAACATCTCATGTAACAACTCTGATGTTGTTACATTCAGGGACCCCACAAAGAAAAGCTGAGTTATAAGAGTCACTACATTGAAGGAAAATCATAATTCACATTTAGTCCTTCCTAGTATACATACAATTTATCTACCTACAGTCACATGTCATTTTTTATCATAAGCTCAGTCTTAGCCTAGTGACACAGAAGAGAGGCCACCTTCATCAGGTGTCCAGAGTGATAAGCAAGAAATTTAACCCAAAGTCAAATTTGCTTTTAAAGAACAAGAAATTGTTTTATTAACTTTCTTCACAATGGGTGAAACACACAGTAGTCATAGAATCACAAAACCTATTGCTCTCCCAGAGACTACTTTTGATTCTATATAACACTGCTGGTATAATTCTCAAGGAGGTATGATTTTCTAAGAAGACATAATTTATACTTTTTAATGGTACCAGTTAAGAGAATTATCTACTATCTCTAGATGATAGATAGATAGATGATTGATAGAAGATGATAGATAGATAGATAGATAAATAGATAGATAGATAGATAATTTACTTGCCTAAGTGAACTTTTCATACCAATGGAGGCTCAATGGAGTTCTCCAGATAAGAGATAGAGATATTACAAGAAAAAATGGTCATATGTCCTAAGAGGGTGGATGCTATGGGATCAGAAATGAGTATGAAAAGGACTACTATGTCTTCAAAATAAGGATAAATTTGATTTGGCTCAATCAGAGAGTGAGAAGCAGACTGTAGGAGCTAATTCAAGACCAATAAGTTTGAAGATGATTTTATAAAGTTTAGTATATACAGCTAAGCAATTTGAAGCTTATAAATAGGCAATAAAGAGATACTAGGAGGTTTGTAAACAAGGCAATAGTTTAAAGTAGGTATGAAGCATGTGGCTTATTGAATTGTATCACATAGCAGTCTTATGCAATGAAGAACAAAGTCATTTTTACAACGAGTCATTTAGTCAAAAAAGAGATAAAGGGTGTCAAATACCTAGTCACAAATTTCAAGTCAATATTATATTTGTAACCATGATGTCCCAAACATGGGTAAGACAGGAATGGCAGATACCTTTACTACCTACATCTTAGGGTCTCAGATCCTCTCCATGGAGTTCAGGAACTTCCCTCCCCAGGGCTTAGCACCCAAATCACATGTCTCGGTTTCTAAGGCTCCCCATTTTGGGGTGACCCACATGTATACCAGCAGCTGCCCACCTGCCTCTGAGGAAGGCTGCAGCTTCCACCTCCCATATTCTGCTGCCCATGTAGCTACAGGTCAACAACCCAAAATTCAAGAAGCTAAAGGTTGTGGTTTAGAGTGTGACACTCTCCTGCTGCCTGGACTCCACCTTCATCCATTCAAAGACCCCCTCAAACCCTCATCAGAACACCTGCCCATAGGTTACCTTCACCACTTCTGGGCTTTAAGCCCTATGTTCTCTTCCTATCTTCCATCTGATTTTTCCTGGATTTATAGCCATGTCCTGGAATGACAAAACATCTATGGTTCCCACAGTCTTGTTCATCTACCAACCAACAGGTATGGGGAGCTCCCATTATTGGCTTAAGGTAGCCTTATTTTCTTCCACAGTGCTTTGTCCCTCCCTGGACTCCTCATAGACACTCAGATCCAGACTTCTTGGTTTATGTACTTCCTCCTTAAATTTACTTGTCATCTACCCGTGTTTCCCCGAAAATAAGGCATCCTCCGAAAATAAGACCTAGCGCATGGAAAGATAAGACATCCCCTGAAAATAAGACCTAGCGCAACTTTGGGAGAAAAAATTAATATAAGACACTGTCTTATTTTCAGGGAAATAGGGTACATGCAGGGGCCCTAGGTTAATACTCTAGTCCCTCATCACTACAGCCTCCTGTCCCTGGTCCAGAAATCTCGAGGCATCCTCCAGTGCTGAAATTTTCATTCCCTGCTTGCAGTTTCAGTGTCCTTCCTTTATTTCTAAAATCAATTCCCCAGAAGATCTGTCTAATTCCACCAGTGTCCTCTGGTCCATCTCTTTGAGGAAACTCATCCTCCCTCATCCAATTAAGTCCAACCCTTCTCTTCTCCAAGCCCATCTTTAAAGCTGTTGGGCTTTTTTTCATCACAAGGATCTCTCTAGGATCCTAGTCCTCCTACTGAGAAACCCCTCTGTTTCTTCATTTCACTTGGAACAGTTCAGAAAACATGCTTAACTTCCAGTATTTATTTTGATATTTTTCCCCAAGCATATGTTTTGTTGTTGTTGTTGTTGTTTTTACTATATTTTCACAATTCCTTTATTCTGACATTTGAGTGGCTACTTTCTGTATTCGAAATATAGTTGCTTGTTGGGGGTTCTTTTTCTCTGTCCCAGCAATGACGTAGAACTTTACCATGAGGATTGAAACCCATTGCACTCTGAGTGACCCAAGGGTTAGAAATTCTTAAACACATAAATTTGGGATGATATCCCTGGTCTCTGATGGAAATCTCTAAGTGTCTTTTCTCTCCACCTTCTCAGCGATCCATGAGAACATTTGTTTCCATGAAAATGATGGAGAAGAGAGTGTGGAGGACCCTAACACCCAACTAAGTCTTGAACAAGGTGATTGCAAACATAACAGCTGATTCTCATCTGAAGTGGAAAGGAGAATGGGATATGGGCCCTGAGTCCTGGTGGAATTTAAGAATCAGAGAACTGTTGAGGATCATGGAGAAGGCATGGAGCACTGTTTATATGAGCATCTTACCAGATACTGATCCTGGAGGAGGAGCTATGACAAGATACCGTTGGCTCAATAAACAAGACAAATTAACAGGAACGCAATGAGTCAGGAAACCAGATTTAAAGACAATGCTAACCTGGACGTAACTGTGATTTAGAGAGAACCTGTAGGAGATCAGGGTGAAGCTATATAGAGTTAGGAACTATGGACCCCAGGTCAACATCACAGAGGAGATACTTGATAATGACAGAAGAAGAAGCTGATTAAAATGTGGAGGATGCTGTTCAAGAGCAAGAATATTCAAGGAGATGGGCAGTAATAGAAAGAAGAGAGGGAATGTGCATATTTTGAGAGAAGGAGGGAAAATGAAAGACAGAAGAAAGAAGTAAAAGACACAACGAAACAACCATATTACACTGACAGTTGTGGACTTAGTGCTCACAGCTGCTATTAGAAGTTAATATTATGTTTGTACTCTTTCTGCAATTAGGAGACTAAATCTATGTGTAGTTGACTGGTTGTATGTGTAGTTGGACTGGGGTTAAATGAGCAAGATGAACCCAGGCATTCTGAACCCAAAGCCTGTGTTCTTAACTCTGCACACACCCAGATAATCTCATGGAAAAACCAGAAGCACGAAACAAAAATAGGGAAATATATGCAGAGAGAAACACAGAAAGAAGAATACTAGAAGCTGGAAGGAGTACAGGAGAATCAGACACTGAACCTCATGAAAAGGCCAACAAGAGAGAAACAGACATGGGGGGCGGGGAGGGTATGGTGTGAAGAGGGTGCAATGAGGCACTAGGACTTTGTAGGAACTACAGCAAGACCACCAGTCAAGGGCAGCTGTGGAAACAAAAACAGGTTCACTATGGCCATGGCTGACATGAAAAGCCATTGCCAGTCACCTAAGGTGCTCATGGAAAATACTTAGTGAGATGGACTGGCCAAGGCGCTTTCGGTCCAAAGGGGGACTTGGGTCTGACTATAAGAGTGGGATGGGATCCTCCAGGTCCAGATGGGCTCTGTATTGATACCTGAGGGATGGCATCCTCAATTCCTACTTTATAACGATTAAATGGGAATTAGGGGAGAATGGCATTTCTGAAATAAACTTCCCATTTTTCCCCTACAGGCACTGGTGAAAACTCATATCAAAACCTGACCTGGATCTGCTCACATCTCTCGAATTACAATGGTCTGTTCCTGTTGGCTGTTCTGTGACCCTTTGCAGTTCTTGTCCCATCTGGCAGGTGCTATGGTGGGAGGACTGCTTCTTTTTAGTACTGATCACCCAGAATTTTCCATCTTTGCTTCTACAATTTCTCCAAGGATTTAGATAACAGAGTTTTCATTTTCCTAGTTGCCTGGAAAAGTTGTTCCTTCCACATTCTTTAAATGCACTTACTGCCAGCTCCTGACAACCTAGGCCTGGACCTATTGCCCATGCACCCGGCTTCTGCTTCTGTCTTGCTTGAATCTGGCTGCAGGCTTGCTTTGACGTCATATCCAGCTGTGGCCAGCACTGTAGCAAGGGTGGTTAGGGTAGGGGTGATAAGTGTGTTCCTCCTTGGGCCAGGGTCTCTCACCTGTTGGGTCCCTCACACAGGACCATGGATACCATATGCCTCCTGAGCAAACCCTCTCTCATCATCTCTGGGGCAGCAGGCCTGGAGCTGCCCTCCAAACACCTGACCAGCCTCTTAAAAAGTACTTTGGTAATTTAGCAATCAATAGCCACTGACCAGCCTCTAAAAAAGTACTTTGGTAATTTAGCAATCAGTAGCCACTGTTTACAACTCTTGACCTTCCATAGCCTGCCTCTCTCTCTCTTTCTCTTTCTCTTTCTCTTTCCTTTTTTCCCCTCTAAAATCAATGAACATATCCTCAGGTGAGGATTATAAAAATACAGTGATGGTACATCAACCACATTTTTCAGAGAACAAAGAATGAGCTGAGACTTTGGCTCTTTGTGCAACTTCAGCCACTGAGACTTAGGGATTGACCTCTGCCTTAGGGCGGTGTCAGAACAGGAAGCCTGGTGACCCACGGCTGACTTCAAAGTCTTCCCTGTGAATTTGGGAAGTGGTTTTCCCTCTTTGTCCCTCAGTTGCATCATTTATAAAATGGAGGTGATAGCCCCTAGCCAGTTTGGCTCAGTGGATAGTGTTGGCCTGTGGACTGAAGGGTCCCAGGTTTAATTCTGGCCAAGGCACATACCCGGTTTGCAGGCTCAATCCCCAGTAGGGAGCGTGCAGAAGGCAGCCAATCAATGATTCTCTAAATTAATAATAATAATAAGAAGAAGAAGAAGAAGAAGAAGAAGAAGAAGAAGAAGAAGAAGAAAATAAATAAAATGGAAGTGATAATGATACCTACTTCACAGGGTGATAGATTTTAAACAAGTTATGTCATGTAAAGTATTCACAATCATGCCTGGTACTCATCAGTGTTCCATGCATGTATTAATATCACTATGCTTAATGATCATTATTATTTGTATCTAGTGCCAGAGTCTAATCTTTTAACTACTACAGTAAACTAGGATATTTGGAAAAGCAGTGATAACAGTAATAACAATCTCAGGCCTAGGAAAATAAATTTAGTGCCTCAGGTTCTGTACCCTAGAACCCACTAGTCTATAAAAAGTATCAAGTGTTTGTAGCATGACTCTCCTTTGGAAATGAGTGACAGGGAGGAGATCCAGGAAAATTCAGTATGGAAGGCATTGCAGGGTAGCTTTCAATGGGAAGTATTATTTAAGAAAGGATATTCAAATTAGCAATACATTTTTATAAAAGAAAAACTTCTCAGGGTTATTTTTGAAAGCATAGTTATACTTTTAGCAAATCATATTTACTCAAAAAGTTGAATTTTAAAATATCCTTTAAAGTATATGAATCCATATTAGCCATTGGCCAACGATCCTGCTAGTGGGAATAGGAAGGGTGAAAGGAAAGAATTGTGAAGAGTAATGAGCAGGGATTCTGTGTATGTACGAGTGTGCACATGTATGTGTGTGTGTGTGTGTGTGTGTGTGTGTGTGTGTGTGTAGGATTGGGGGAGGGGGATGCAATGATATTATGATTCCCAATGTGGTCTGAGAGCAAGCCTGCTAAGAAGTAAAATCCCAGAGCATCTTAATGATTGGGAACAATATATTCTATAATAGTATAAAGAGAGGAATTTCAAAGATAAATTCTAAATTTTTTTTAATTTTTAAATAAAAATAAAGAGAGGGATTTCAATGTACAACCCAAATGATGCACAATAAGCAGGGATGGTTGACTGTGACATGCACAGGTGAGGGGAGGGCTGTGTCTCATGCTTACCACCCCAGGAGGAGGCTCTAGGAACTGTAGGTGTGACATTAAGATGCACCAGTGTTCACATTCTGTATTAGAATTAGGGGAATTATTTTTAGATCATCCTTTACATAAATTATTTTGTTTATAAAGTAGCACTAAATGAAAAAATCCAAACTGCACTGAAAAAAATATTTACCAATTCTACAACTATTGAGGTTGGGAGGAACAGAGTGGAATTAGTCAATAGAACCAATAGTGAACCAAGGAGGCTCACCACAGGGAAGAGGGTGCACTGGTCCTGGTGCTTTACTCAGGGATTCATTCCTAATGGGATTCTGCTCTGCTCTGTCCTCTATTTCTTTCTTTTCTTTTTTTTCTATCCTCTATTTCTGGCCACAGATTCCTGCAGCCTTGCTTGATAGGTCTTTTGTTACATTTTACTGCTGGATTCCTACACTGGGAGACACCAGCAAGAGTGGAGAGTGGAAGAAAGGGAGAAGTATGGTATTTCCCCATCACTGTCTTGGGCAATTCTCTCAATAGTTGCATCTCCCATGACTCTACCTCCCACCAAGCAGGCCAGCCATGTTCCAGCTTCTACCTTCCCAGTGACTGGACACATGAGTACACCCTTGGTCCCTCCCACAGCTTCCTGTTGACTCTTCTTCAACTTGGAATTGTCAGCTCTTCCACCAGGTGTATAACTAGCCCCCTGGATTAAATTCCCTCTGCTCCAAAGGCTTAGAGAGTTTTATATTTTCCTGTTGGATCCTGATTGATGCTTGAAGCAAATAAAATATCTGTTAATCAAAACGTGGTTTAGGTACATCCCCACATGAAAATGGACTGTCAGAGCACAGTTGTGAAAGAGAACAGATAAATGCGAATGAAACAGTTACAACCAGCAACAATAATGATGCACGAGAAAGCCAACAAGAGAATGAACAATGTGCCCAAGAGGCTGAGCCAGCAGGTAAGCCTGAATAGCTGGGTTTGATGAATGTGGAGAGGTCAAGGGGCATTTCCTGGTGGCAGAGAATGAAGAAAGGTAGAACTCAAGGAGACACTTATTAACAAAAAGAGGGAAATCACACAGACACGCAGAGTGCAGAAATGGATTCTGATATATTGATAGGAGAGACCTGGAGAAAAAGAGAAATACTAAAATAAGAGACAGGGAGAAGAGCTGCAGAGCTTTCCGAGGGAAGATAGAAACAAAAGTCAAAATAAGTCAGGGAGAGATTTACGGTGGAATCAATGATACACAAACACTTTCACTGAATGAAAGTGGGCAATATATGCAGTCAGGCTCTAAGTAGGAACAGGAGAAGAAAAGAGAAGCCAGTGAGGTGCAACAAAATGGTAATTGGCAGAGTAAGGCTCTGTGGGAGCTCAGCTGTTGTCTTTTTTTTTTATTTCAGAGGCCTGTGAGCAAGTACCCATCCAAGGAAATAATGGAAATGCAAGACTAGAGATACCCAGCCCATTGCCCTCTGATGAAGAAAGTAATTATCACCTTCCTTACCAATGATCTAAGTGTATCTTTGTTTTTCTATGAGAGCAAATGCTTTCCTTTGTTCTCCAATAGTAGCCATCTCCCCACCCATCTAAATACCACACAAGACACACAGCATTGTGCACAGCCTCCAGCTGTTTTTAAGGCCAGGGAGAAAGAGAACTCAGCTCTTTGATAAAGGATTGTTCCTGGAGGAAAATGCAAAGAGAGAAACTATGGAGAAGGTGGACTGGGAACACCAAACGGCAATGTATAAAAATGAGATAGAGTTCACATAAATTGACATGGAATCCAACCAGTGCCTTGTTGTGGAGTTGGTGTAAAAGAAATAAGCTGCACTTCACTTTTTTAAAATTTCTTTATTGATTTTGGTGTTACATATGTGTCCTTTTTCCCCATTACCCCCCCCTCATACCCTTCCTCTTCATGCCCTCACCCCCCTGTGTCTGCACTTCACTGTTAGAATTTTAACAGAAACACAGAAGTTATGGGTAATGCTGCTGGTCAGATATTCAACTAAGAAAGCCCAGGTGAAGGACCTTTAGAATGAAATGGCAGGTGGGGGAATTTTATTCAGTGCACAAAATCACAGGGGACAACTTTGGTGATGATTTGAATGCTTGAGATGAGAGAATACATGGAAAGACAAAATTGATACAGAAGAGGCATACACAGATCCCATTGCCAATTAAAAAACGGGGATAGAATGAAAGAAAGCAGGAACCAAACAGAGATTGTAGGAACTAAAAAATCAGCTAGAGCAGTGGTCGGCAAACTCATTAGTCAACAGAGCCAAATATCAACAGTACAATGATTGAAATTTCCTTTGAGAGCCAAATTTTTAAACTTAAACCATATAGGTAGGTACATTGTTATTAACTTAATTAGGGTACTCCTAAGCTGGCCTTTGCTAAAAACTCAAGGGGCCAAAGAGCCGCATGTGGCTCAACTAGCCACAGTTTGCCAGCCACTAAGCTAGAGGATAGCAGGTCTAGAATGAGGCAGGAGAAATCTGAGATGATAAGGAGGACCTCGCTCAGTACTTTCTTGTGTTTTGAGCACCTCATTTGCATCACCCTAGACCCTGGTGGGCCCTGAGAGAAAGACATAAAAATGTGAAGGAAAAGAATCTGAAGGAAAAAAGACACAGAGGAAATGCCAGTACATAGAAAAACTGAGGGAGACACAAAGGAAACTATGTAAAGAATGAGTAAAGAACAATGAATAAAAAACTGATAAAGAGATGACCAAATGAAGAGAGAGAGCAGACAAATCAAGATATTGTTTTATTTGATAGACAATCACAGGTAAAAAGACGCCAGGGGCTGTTCATAATACCATTGAGAAGTTAAGGTGTTCACAATTATCCAAAGGGCCCTGGAACATTCTTAGATAAAAATAGGCCTTCTATCTCTTCTTGACCTTTTGACTAAGATCAGGTGTAGTATCTATTTTTATCAGTTTAGTATCTAATACATCGTCTCTGAGGACAGTGTTTTGTAGGGTTGCATAAATTTAATTTAAAAAGATAATTTTTTTAAATGGCCTCTTTCCAGATATCTCATTCTTCCATGGCTTCAGTCACGATTTATGATCTATTGATTTCCAAACACACATCGCCAGCCCAGACCTGACCTATGCTCATTTGATCAAGTGCCTGAAGCTCTTGATGGGAAGATCTAATGAACATCTCTACTGGAGGCTGTATCAGTTATCTACTGCTGAGTGACAAACAGATCCAAAACACAGTGGATTAAAACAACCATGATTTTATTTGCCACTTCTGTCAATTCCAATTTTTAAAAATCTCCTCCAACCTTTCCATTTTTCCATACCCAGCACAATACTCTAATCCAGACCCCCTTCACTTCTCACTTCAGTAGAGGAATAGTCTCCTGCTAGGATCCTTTTTCCTATCTTGCTCTCTTCAGATCCATTCTTTACACTTCAGCTCAATGGATCTTTCAAAAATTCAAACAAGGTCTTACGGCTCTACTGTTTAAAACCCAATACCATCTTGTGACCCTCAGATTTAGGTCAATACTGCAAGCTGTGGGGATTAAAGGACACCTGCCACAGCTTCATATTTTCCCTTCTTTCATGCCACCTTCACATTGAAAAAAAATTCCTTTTAGTTACTTGAATTTGCCAAGCTCTCTCAACTAAATCTCTGCCTTTACACATGCTTTTGGAAAACAGTTTGGCATAATCTTTTGATGGATTTCTTTTTAATGGATAATTTATATTATGGAATACTATACAGCAGTGAAAATAAATATGCAAAGTAAATACAAATGACTTTAACACACATAATGTTGAAAAAATAAGTCAAATCCCCATAACTAAATGGCAGAGAGGCAGAGACATAGAGAAGACATGGTTCCATTTATATGAATTTATATAAAATATAGAACTGAGAAACTTAATTATCCATAATATTGAAAGTCAAAGCAATGGTTAACTTGAGCAAGATGGTAGGAACTGCCCTCCCCTGCTGGTCATCTTGTGCTGACTATCTTGTGTGTTGCAGTGATGATCAATCTACTTATTACTCTTTTATTATATAGGATAGAGGCCTGGTGCATGGGTGGGGGCCAGTGGGTTTGCCCCGAAGGGTGTCCTGGATCAGGATGGGGGTTCCCTTGGAGCATGGGGAAGCCTACATGAGGAGCCTGTGGTGGTTTTAAGGCCAGCCAGACTCCCCTCCCCTCCCACCCCCCCAAGCAGAGGCCCTGGTATCTGGGATTTATTTATCTTCTATAATTGAAACTTTGTAGCCTTGAGTGGAGGCCTGCACTGGCCAGGGTGTGCAGAAAGCTTAGCTTCCTTCATTGCGGGGGGGGGGGGGGGGGGGGGGGGGGGGGGCGGACTCAAGCCTCCTTTTCACTCTGTGGCCACAGCAATCTTTGTTGGGTTAATTTTCATACTTGCTCCTAATTGGCTGGTCGGTGTGGCTTGTTGGTGTAGGGGGGTGATGGTTAATTTGCATATTACTCTTATTAAGATTTTTTGAAAAGAAAAAATCATCATCATCAAATAATGGGAAGAGTCAGTAAAAACAAAAAACAATGATAGTTTAGAGATGCATAAAGGAAAAACAGAGGTAAGCAGCTGAAAGGAGAGGGGTTGGAATAACTTTCCCTAGAGTGGAATTACAGGGAGAAGTGATCATTGATTGTAGTAAGGTTGCTCATTCCCTTTGTGGGAGACAAATAAAATTCTTCATTTATTATAATTTTGTTCAGGACCAGAACTACCCAACCATGGAATCCAAATAAATTCCTGTTCTGTACGTCTGGTGGATATAAAGAAGGAAAAGCCATTTTTTAATCCAAATGTTGGAAACAAAACCCATAAATCTGACATAATAGGTAAGACTGACCGAAAGAATGTCTGATATGAATCCCAGATACTGTGTAAGGGCTTGGGACATGTCACAAGGTTCCACCAAGGAGATTCAGGTGACCTTGGGCAGAGGCAGGAGAAAAGGGAACCAGCACCTTACCAGTGATTTTAGCAGAAGAGTGTTCCTAGGAATTGAAAAAAAAAAAAATACCAAAAGACTAAAGTTGCAGATATAAGAATTAATGTTTGAGAAACTATTTCCAAAATAAGGAGAAATGCATGGTGGTAGGAGATGAAGAAACAAGAAAACAAAAGATTTTTAAAAAGAAAAAAATAATAATAATCAGAACCAAGATATCTCTGAGAGGAAATGAGAAAGAAGTGAATGAAGAAAAAAAGAGGTATAAAATGATAGCATCTACAGAAAGACAGGCATAATTAAGAGAAATGGGCTGAGCCAAGAGGAAAGTGAAGTAAAATGAGAATGAAAGAAGTGGTGGAAGAGGGTGGGGATTGGAGGTAGATTGAGGATAGAGGTAGGAGATAGAATAAGGATGGGGGGAAGAAGTGCTGCAGGATGGGCAAAGCTGCTCTCTGTGCATGAATTTCACCACCTTCTGGGTAGGACTTGGAGCAACCTGCAGGTTGCACATTTGGGTACAGACCAGCTTCTCGTTATGGGGTTTTCTGTGCATGGGCTCCTTGGCCCCATCCTGAGACACTAAGGGGTTTTTCTCCTTCTGTGCAGTGATCAGCAGTGATGAAGATGAAGATGAGTTCCCCAAAGCCTCCACCTCGGAACAAAGAAGGGGGCCTGGTAAGGAGGTGGGAGCTCAAGGATGGGGCGCAAGAATCTCAATTAAGAGCTACTGTTTTATGAGGCATCAGTTCTGAGTTTATTCTGTACCATGGATCCAGTTTATCCTGCAATCCCATTCTCTGCATTCATTTCACCTTGACCTTTTTTGGGAAATGCAGGAAGATAAGAAATAATTATTAAGTAAACATATATATATTTTTGAGGATGACATCTATTAATGGGTCTAATAGTCAACATATGTACTTTATATTGGTTGTACAGTAGAAATAAGCTAGCACTAACTAGTTGTTATGACTATAAACTGTTGGATTTCTACAGTAATTTCTATAGAGAAGAGAAACCTCATATTTCTTAATTAAACAGTCATGTTGTCATCTGATTTCAAACTTTGAATCATGTCTGAAGGCAATTCATCCAGCTCTCTAGTGTTAGCAGAAATAAACACTTCAAGTATTCTGAAACACAAAGTGTTGTTTTTTAGAGTTTTTCAGCAAGTCATGATATATAGAGTGATTTTTCAAAGGACCTTTGCAAATAGTGTCTTAGTTTTTCCTTTACAACAGCCTTGAGGATTAGACAGGAAGGACACTATTATCCTTGTTACTGGATGAGAAAATACAATCATATAAACCTTTCAGGGTCGTCTACAAAGCCTCATGAAAATTAAGGGAAAGACAAGGCTACTGGATTCTGTGTTATTTCCTTTGTAAATTAGAGCTTGAAATGGTTAATAAAATGTTTCGTCAATCCCATGAGCAGCACAAATGGTCACAAACTACAGCTCTTTAGTGCACAGGCTGGTGATTGGTTTTCCCTTCCTACTTTCTCAGAGGATATTTAGCAAAACATACTAGGAAAAGATCTAAGGACAAATAAAAATGTTACCTAGTCTGGATGTTACAAAAGATTATTATTTCAAATAATATGTTCTTCCACTGAGCACTAGATCTATCAAAGTAAAATGTAAATGTACCTCAATTTTCAGGGAGTATGTGTTCTAACTTACGTGTTAGTATAAGCAAACTGCTCTAAAAGACCATTTCAGCATAGGTCTATGTCTCAGATATTATTTCTCAGCCTTGTAAACAGTTCAAGTTGCATCTGGATGTGCGAAGGCTCTCTGCCTTTAGCACAAGATTTCCAAGCTCTCCCCACAAAGAAACAACAAATAAAGGAAGTGTGAAATGACAAGAGAAGGGGTAAGAGGCAGGAGAGAGGTGTAGGAAAGTAAGGTTCTTTGCTAGTGACTTGTCTCTGTTCTGGGGACAATGAATGGAGATCACTAACCTACAAGGTGGGTAACTTAGAGGGACAGACCAGGTGAGCCTGTGTGTGGGTGACTTAGAGGGACAGACCAGGTGAGCCTGTGTGTAGGCCATGGTATACCTGGGTTTTCAAGATTTTTCAAGTTGTATTAGAGAATTCCTGCTGAATTTGTTTCTTGGTTATATAGTGAGACATCTAAAGAATCCTATTCTTTTTTGCACTTATCAATAACCTTGACTCCTTAGAATCAAATGAGGAAGGAGAGATCCAAGAAGCCACCTGCTCAGCCCCTGAAGTTGCACCACGTAAGAATATTTGGAAAGCATTCCTGGATGAAAAATATCCAGAGTCTAAATCCAGAATTCTATTTCCTAATAAATCTTATTCTGACATTCTCTGTATGCATTGATTCTATTATTTCTAGGGCCCAATTTCTGCTTTTAACTTCTTTGAGCCTTTGGAATATGAAAGAGGGCAAAAAGGCATTATAAACTGTTGTTTAACTGGATGAGCCCAATCAATTGATCTATTAAAAAGGTAGAAATAGCCGAGACCGGTTTGGCTCAATGGATAGAGCGTTGGCTTGGGGACTGAAGCGTCCCAGGTTCGATTCCGGTCAAGGGCATGTACCTTGGTTGTGGGTATATCCCCAGTACTGGGTGTGCAAGAGGCAGCTGATCGATGACTCTCTCTCATCGATGTTTCTAACTCTCTATCTCTCTCCCTTCCTCTCTGTACAAAATCAATAAAATATATTTTTTTAAAAGGTAGAAATAATACACTAGCAAATGACTGTCATTTTTACTACACACTATCATATCTATTAATGCTGAAAAATTAAAATAATATATGTAGTCTTTACCAAAATGCTTTATTTTCTACAGAGCATAGTAAGCACAGCATTTCTGTATTTTTTGACAATATTGTCATTAGTCCCCAACTTAGAAAGTCTTCAAAGAATAATTTGTGCTGCTTTTTAATTATTGACATAAAAATAGCTTCAGCCCAACTACTCTCAAACCCAAATGATAGTTTAGTGGTAGGCTTACATTGTGATTTTTCACAGGGCTTTTATGAATAAAGATTTGTTTTGTTTTCACAAATACCTGAACTGGGAGATAGAGTAACTAAGTTATCCCCACATTATAGATGAACACTGGAGATAGAAAGTTTAAGGGTCGGGTATAAATTCACAGGGAGTTAAAAAAAGGAGAGCTGGGCAGGAGCCCAGCATTATGACCATGGGTACCAGGACTTTATTCAGTTGAAGAAAAGAGGAAAATGATCATCTCAACATCAATACTATCATAAACCCTATCTGCTATGTGACTTGTCATAGAATTTGTAAGACTTTGTTGTACAAATAGCTGTTTCTTCCCTCTTACTTTATAGTGCCCCTGGATTTGAGAAAATCACCTACATGCAGGAAAAGACTTTGGAAAACTGGTAAGAATAAATAAGAATTCTTCGTAGTTATAAATGAACAATATTTTCTACAAAATATTCATTCTAACTCTTTTTATGTCCTTAAAACTAAAATATAAATTTGCTTTAATTTTAGCTGGTTTGGATTTTAACTTTTGTATAAATTAGGTTAATAGCTATAACATATAAACACAAAGAGTCAAAGACTCAAACACAATAGAATTTGAATTTTTTCTCAAGTAAACATTCCTAGGAGGATTTGATGGTATACAGGTGGGACTCTATTTCACAGTCATTCTGCGAAGCAGCCATGGGGAGTTCTGCCTTCTTCAATACCAGATTTCCAAGACAGCTCTGGGAGAGGAGCAGAGCTAAAAAATGAATGTGAATACAGATTTTAAAAAAAAACAACAACAACAAATCCATAAAGAGACAAGTTAAGGGAGAAAGCAAATCCAGTATAAGAAAACAGATATGCTCACTGGGGTGAAATAGCTTAGTCCCAGGCTCAGGAGAGGGGAGGGATAAAATACTGACCTATAGGTCACATGAATGCAAAAGGCAGGTCATGGAGGTCTCAGGGAGGGTCATTCTAGCCCTGGGTTTTCAGAGCTTTTCAGGTTTTCCTCTCAAGGTTCCTTTTCATACTCTGACATCTTCAAAGGGGCATTTGTTCCTTCTGCAGGGAGAAATCACGAAGAGGCTTCTGAATCGAGTGCAGACGAGACGCCCCCGGCAATCTGGAGTTTTACAGCGAGGAGTGGTCCTGATGACAAGGGTGAGGCCTGCCATTGCTGGGCTCAGGGACCTCAGGAGTCTGAGCTCAGGATTCCCGTTTCTCTGAACACACACCATGACCCAGGGAGCCCACTCCTGCCTTGGTCTCATGTGGCCACTTTAAAAACTGCAAAGAAAGGAAACATTGTAATTCTGGCTTAACCAAAAAGAATGGCTCTTGTTGGATGGCAGTTCATCTTACTCCATGTTCTCAGACATGTCACCCCCAGTGTGGTGGATCACATTGTGATGTTCCCATACTCACCAGCTATTCTGCGCAGAGCAGAGAAAGTGGGACATTCCGCTACTGTTCAGTTGTGTCATAAACTTGTTCAAACCTCAATGGACTCTGGCCATACTCTCTATTGACAGAAGAAACAGCTTCAGGTTATTACCAATAAATCCCATTTATAACGTTTGTCAGATCACCCCCAATTTTAGCCTACAGAGTGGTATTTTTTGAAATAGCTTCACAATTATGGGAAATCACAAATGTGATAAATAGTTTATACAGACTCATGGCAGCTAAATCCAGATTCACTGCCAGATGAAAAAACGTTGGTTTTTTTAACACTGATTTTGCACATGGGCTATAGGATGTGGGTCTTTTCTCCATTTGGTATTGCTCTCTTTCCTTTAGATTGAAAGAAACAGAAATAAAATCATCCCGTCTTTATGTTCCAAAGCCTTCTACAATGTGAGGAGTCATAAGATTTAACTATTTCCATCATGGAGCACTAGTTGTGTTTCCCCTTACCTCCTAGATTCTCAAGATACTGGGAACCAATCTACTTGGAAGATGAGCAACAAGAGAAGACGTAAGAACAATCAAAACTCTTGATATAACAAATTGCTTTCTTTGCTACAAAAGCTTCGGCCAATTTTTTGTTATATTCTTTACATTTAAAAAAGCTATGAGGATGTTAGTTGATATACATGATACATTTTGCATTGGGTGGACTGAGCTAATTGGTATAAAATTTCAATGGCATTATGAGCAATGCAAGTTCATATTCTTCACTCAAATAAGGGACAAAGTAGTTCTATCGTGGGGGGATACTCTGCTGCACACGAACATTGAGGACCTAGCTGATGGAGGCTCTAACTTCTAGAAAATGTTGCTTCCATGGTTCCCTTGGATAAAACAGAGTAGAAACAAATGTACAGATAAGTGAAAGGTTAAGAAATGTAAGAAATGATGACAAAAGAAAGTGCCTTCCATGGCAAAATTGTCTGACCTTGGAGACAGTTCCCGGAGCAACCTTGACCAACAGGTCAGATGGAGCCACAGGATGGCCTGGCAGCAGGACTGTTCCTGCCCCTCTCACACAACTTTCTTTTTCCAATTTTTCCTTTGAAGATTCCATGCTGGATTGGTTTCTAGGACGCAGACTGAGCTTGTTACGAAATTTTTTTTCTGCAGGGTTCAGCAGTGGTGACTCTTCAGAATTGAGTAACGGAGAAGAGCCTCAGGAAACTTCTAGTTCAGCCCTCAGAAATGGGTCAGGTAACGAAGATTAAGATGCCAAGCCTTGGCCTGCGAATGTCAGGAATCTGAACTTAAAGCTACTGTTTCCAGATGCATTTTGCTCTGAGCGTCTTGAAGAACTCATACCCAGTTAATCCTGGCAACTCCTTTCAGCACTTTAGAAAATAGGAGGAGGCAGGAAATTATTACAAACTCATGTTTAACAGGATGAGCCCTATTGAATAAATGTATATAATTATACATTGCTGTTTTAGAAGAAATAAATAGCAAAACGGTAACATCTTTTTAAATACCTGCTGTGATGCCCACCAATACTAAGATCTTAAATTTACATTGGTTCACATTAATGTCATTTGTAGCGGTAAAAGAGAACTGGCCCTACTATGTAATAATAGACAGCAATAAAAAGCTTCAGATCAATCACTCTCAAACTTTAGAATAGTTTTTAAAGTTTTCCATCACATTGTAATTGGATTATGTCATGTTATTTTAAAGTACTTTGGCAAATGAGATTTTACTTTGTCATCACAAAATCTGTAAGACTTAGGCAGGCTAATTATTCTGTTGTTGTTAATCTTCACCTGAGGGTGCTTTTCCATTGGTTTTGAGAGAGAGAGGAGGAGGAGACAGAGAAAGAAACATTGGTGTAAGAGAGACACATGGATTGGTTGCCTCCCACGCCAAGGTACCAGAATCGAACCAGAGCCCTTAAGTCTGTGAGCTGATGGCTCTATCCACTGAGCCAAACTAGCTAGGGCTAGGAAGGTTAATTCTTTCTATCCCCATTTTAGGATAAGGAAATTGATGTACAAACTTATAAGGGTCAAAAAGGATGAGTGTTGTATGTAACAGGCAGGAAAATAAGGGCTATTTCAATGATCGAAGTCCAAAGAGGAGGTACAAGGGACCTGGCATATTCACAAGGGAATGTATCAGTGCCTGATACAAGAAAATTTATTTAGCAAACAACTATATATATTTCACCACCTATATTGGTGTGGATATTAATATATTAATATCTTGATGGAGACAGAAATATGAAAATCATTTAAAAAATCAGAAAGGTAGAAATAGAGCCAGCTTTATGATATACAAAACACTTAGAATAATAAAACTAAAAAGAATGGACAGAAAATAAAAATAAACAGATTAACAGTATCATTGATTTAAAAAAAGAAATCAAGGACAGAGAAACTCACAAAATCAACAGGATGGAGACAGAAAGTGTAAGGCAGAGCAAAAAAACTGAGAAGTAATAATAAAATGAGGTGTGGATAGATATAAAAAAATAAAAAATAAAAAAAAACAGGTATCTGTTGTATGTGAGGTGTAGTCATTGGAGTAGGCATACTTTTCCCTAGCTCATCTGAGCTGTGAACATAATTCATCATAACCACATTGAAGTGTGTTCCTGGTCTTCATGTACTGTGTGTCATTTGCTTACTTCCATTCAGTGTCCAGTGTCCTGTCTTCAAATGAATAGAGGAAGAGAGTCAGAAGATATGCCAGCCTGATAGACTGTGGTGGAGCCAATTGTGATACTACTTATCAGTTCTCTTTGTTTTCCTGTCTGCACAGAGGAAAAGCTCTTCCTTCTTTCCCCTAAAACGTATTGCCTCACATGTGCACACAAATGAACACACTCATATACAGACAGAATGGAGCACAAAGACTACATCCTCCACTTTGAGAGAACCAAAGAGAAAGAGAAGCGGGGCTCCTGAGTGGAGGGAGGGGACAATGAGTAGATAATGTGAGGAGAATGGAAAAGGTAGGCTGAGGTCATCAAATGAAAAGGTATATGAGTAATTTTCAAGGTTTTCTAATTGGACATGGGATCCAAATATCACCAGATGCAGGTTTTGTGGGGTGGAGTAGGATGGCTTTCAAGATATGTCTCAAAGTTTACCAGAAATCTATAATAATAAAAGTGTAATATGCTAATTAGACTGGACAACCTTCCAAATGAACTTCTAGATGAAACCGGGGTGGTCTGAGGGAAGCCCTGGCCCTGGTGCCAGAGGGAAGCTGGTGCCAGCAGCCGGGGAAAGGAAGGCTTACTCTTGCACAAATTTTGTGCATTAGGCCTCTAGTATAGTAATAAAGTTCATGACTAACAGATCAGAGGAAACTGGCAAAAGAAATAGTGGTCAATAGTGAAGTCAGTGATGATAAAAGTAGTAATTTATAAGATTAAGCTGAACATCGATGAAGAAAATGTAAAGACAAAGTTTGCAATTATAAAAACAGAAAAAGATCAACATAAGACAGAGAAGGAAGCAAAGAAGCAAAGAAAAACAAAAGGGAAGTGACAGTGGAAAGAGGATTATTTCAATAGTGAAACCACATCCAGAGGGAGAAGCATAAAAAAATAGATGAGAATGAGATGTATATAGAGAGTAATCAATGGAGAGGAATTAGATGAGGCACAAAAAGAACTGTAAAGAAAGAGTTAAAAAATAATAATAAAAAAAATAAAAAAATTTAAAAAAAAAGAGTTAAAATAAGAGAAATGGTAGAGAAGATAAAGGAAGTGGGAAAGGGAGGGGGAGATGGTGAAATTGTGGGATCTGAGATGACCATAAGACAAAAGCAATGTCTGCACAAGTAGTAGTTCACACCAGTAGTGAGTTTTCAAAGTAAAGTGTCTCCAAGTATCAAAATGATTCGTGTAATTCATCCAGACTGCTAGAGATGTCAGCAGGCATTTCACCCATTCTTATAGCTTTAATCACCATCCAATATGTCTCCAGTCCAGACCTGTCTTTTAAGCTTCTAAACCATTCATCCAACTATCAGCAAGACCTCTGGTCAAGGTCTTAAAGGCCTTAGCCTTCTCCTCTTAGATGTCTTTCCATTTGAAATTCAACTCTTCTAAAACAGAGCACATCATCTTTTTCTCTAAAATCAGCACCTGTTCCCAGTGTTCTCCAGCTCTAAAACACACTATTAATTTACTTGTTCCTTCAAGTTCATATTCTCAGAGTCATCAGTATAGCCCTCTGTAACCTAATTCTATTAATTCTTCCTTTTAAATGTCTCCAGGCTGTCCATGGATCTCCATCACCAAGCTATCACTTTAATCAATGTCTATTATCACTTCTCACTGGAGCTAAAGTGACAGGCTCCTGCTTGTCCTGCTTCTAATTTTGTTCACACCAAACGTATTCTAAGTTATTTAGCTAAATTTGCCTTTCAAAAATGCAAATATGTCGATGCTGCTCTCCTACATAAAATCCATTGTCCTTCACCTTCTGTTAGAATTAAGTTAAATCTCCTTGTGTGGCCCCCACAGCCACCTACCTTGAGGCTCCTGCCTCTTTCTCCATCATTATCACTGCCACTAACTTTCCTACTTCATATTCAAACATCCTTAAGCTCCTCTTGGTTACTTGCATTAATTGAATGTAGACCTTTGCACATGCTTCTCCATCCATTGGGGGGGGGGGAAGGGGGGGGCGTTATTGCCTTGGTCCCTTTCCTCCATAATCTGGCTAACTCCTGCTCCATGATACATACTCTGGAAAGGGACCCTTATCTCAAATGTACTAGTTTTTCCTACTGTACCCTCCCCTCCTTCTAGAGTACTTTGTGTGATCTGTGTTCTAACATTCTTCAACTTTCAATATATTCACTTCTTTATGTTTCAATGTCATGGCTGCTCTTAAGTTGACAAGCACTGACACTTCAGTAGTCATATGTCCTACATTGTTATCAGTGTCCATCTCAGCAACTGGCACATAACAGAAGCTTAGCAAATGTGTTTAGTGAATGAAAATAATTGTTTAGACTCTGTATTCCAACATTTGGAAATTTGTCTGGCCAATGTTAGTTAATTAGAGCATCTATATTGAATGCTTACAAAAACTATTTTAATAATTTAATTATACATATATGTGTATAGACATGTAAATATAACAGTATTTCTGGGGGAAAAATAACATCACATAAAAATAAATACAAATGGCTTTTATGTAGCAGAAGGTCACGCCTGGAGAAAGTGAAAGAGTGGAGTCTTGTGGCCGCAATGCTGTTGCTACTTCTCTGAAGCTCCTCTCAACCACTTGCCGAGACACCTGGCCGCCAAGATGCCTCGAATTATGATTAAAGGGGGCGTGTGGAGGAATACCGAGGATGAAATTCTTAAAGCAACAGTAATAAAATATGGGGAAAACCAATGGTCTAGGATTGCCTCACTGCTGCATAGAAAATCATCAAAGCAATGCAAAGCCAGATGGGATGAGTGGCTCAATCCAAGCATTAAGAAAACAGAATGGTCCAGAGAAGAAGAGGAAAAACTCTTACACTTGGCCAAGTTGATGCCAACTCAGTGGAGAAACATCGCTCCAATCATTGGAAGAACAGCTGCCCAGGGCCTAGAACACAATAAATTTCTTCTGGATAAAGCAGCCCAAATAGACAATGAAGAGGAAACAACAAATGGTCCACAAAAACTTATACCTGGAGAAAGAGACCCAAATCCAGATACAAAACCAACGCAGCCTGATCCAATTAATATGGACGAGGATGAATCTGAGATACTTTCTGAAGTTAGAGCCCACCTGGCTAATACTCAGGGAAAGAAGTTCAAGAGGAAAGCAAGAGAGAAACAGTTTGAAGAAGCAAGGCGTCTTGCTGCCCGCCAAAAGAGAAGAGAACTTCAAGCAGCTGGCGTAGAAATTCAGAAGAGAAAAAAGAAGAGAGGACTTGGTTATAATACTGAAATCCCATTTGAAAAAAAGGCTGCTCATGGTTTCTATGATACTTCCGAGGAAAACTACCAGGCTCTTGATGCAGATTTCAGGAAGTTAAGACAACAGGATCTTGATGGTGATCTAATATCTGAAAAAGAAGGAAGAGAGAGAAAAAAAGACAAGCAGCATTTGAAAAGGAAAAATGAATCTGATTTATCATCAGCTATTCTTCAAACAAGTGGTGTTTCTGAATTTACTAAAAAGAAAAGCAGACTAGTACTTCCTGCCCCTCAGATTTCAGATGCAGAACTCCAGGAAGTTGTGAAAGTAGGCCAAACAAGTGAAATTGCAAGTCAAACAGCTGAGGAATCTGGCATAACAAACTCGGCTTCCAGTACTCTTTTTGTCTGAGTACAATGTCACCAACAACAGCATCGCTCTAGAACACCGCGAACGCCAGCTTTTCAGGACAGAATTCTGCAGGAAGCCCAGAACCTCATGGCCCTGACCAATGTGGACACCCCATTAAAAGATGGACTTAACACACCTTTGCACAAGAGTGACTTCTCAGGCGTGTCTCCACAGTGACAGGTTGTAGGGGCTCCAAACACTAAGAGAACTAATCAAAAAAGAAATGATCACAGTGCTTCATTATGACCTTCTACATCACCCTTATGAACCATCTGGAAGTAAAAAAGGAAAATCTGTAAGATTTGCTACCAATAATTCAGACCACATTGCCTATCTGGAACATAACCCTTATGAAAAATTCGCTAAAGAAGAGCTGAAAAAGGCCCAAGATGTTCTGGTACAGGTGATGGAAGTGGTGAAACAAGGTATGAGCCATGGAGAACTCTCAAGTGAAGCTTATAACCGGGTGTGGGAAGAATGCTACAGTGAAGTTTTTTATCTCCCTCGGCAGAGCTGCTACACACGGGCCAACCTAGCAAGCAAAAAGGACAAAATTGAGTCACTTGAAAAGAAGCTTGAGATAAACAGGGGTCATATGACAACAGAAGCCAAGAGAGCTGCACAGATGGAAAAGAAGATGAAATTTTTGCTTGGTGGTTACCAGTCTTGTGTTGTGGGGCTCATGAAACAATTGAATGACTTATGGGACCAAACTGAGCAGGCTTACTTAGAGTTAGACACTTTTGAAGAACTCAAAAAACATGAAGATTCTGCTATTCCCAGGAGGCTACTCTGTCTTAAAGAAGATGTACGGCGACAACAGGAAAGAGAAAAGGAGCTTCAGCAAAGATTCGCTGATTTGTTGCTGGAGAAAGAATCATTAAAGTCCAAAATGTGAAGCACAGTATGTGTTCTGTCACAAGATGAACTAATTGCTGGTTTTTGTACTCTGGAAGGCTAAAACAAATGTTTATCTTCTTTGACAAATTTGTCCATATCTGTGCTCTCTTGATTGTTTATTTTAAACATTATTGATCTAACACATTCTGTGTATAAAGCCCTTGACCCCACAGGACATTTTAGAGTTTAAATTATGACAATTATCTCTTTTATCAGTGTCACATTTACAAAGTTTTTTTGTGTTTGTTATTGTTTTTTCAGTTTTGGCCTTTATTTTAAAAGCCTGATTTTTAAATGCTGCCTGTGAGTATACTCTTAAATAAAAACAAAACCTAAATATAAATAAATACATACATACATTCAAATGTTTATTTAAAAAATGTCATTGAGGAATTATGGGAGAAGCACATAAAGAAAAAACAGAAAGCCAAAGATGCAGATTTGGGGCAAAGAAAATAGAGGGGGGAGAAAATAGATTGAAAGGGAGGGACAGAGATAAGAAGGAATAACAATAGATTAAGAGATTTCAGAGTTAGAGCCATCCTTTGATGTAGGGGGAAAGGAGGATGATTTGAGGTCAAGGGCACAAATTAAAATTGCAAATTAAAGTTTTTTTACAAATCATAACATAGGAGCAGAGCTCCAAGGACTTGGAAATCAGAAGTGCTCCTGTGTCATGTGTTCACCAAGTGTTGAGTCAAGAGGCCAAGAAGCAAGATCTAAATGTAGCCAAGCAGGAACCAAAATGGTGGCATAGGAAAACACCTGAACTTACTGCAGCACACAACCACTTCAAAACTACAACTAAAAAACAAAACAAATATAATCCAGAACCATGGGAAGGCTGGCTGAGTGAAATTTATACAACAAGAAGGAAAGAGAAAAGTACACTGAGACTGGAGAAGGTGCCGTATGGAAGGTACAGAAGCAAAAAAGACCAACTAGAAATTAAGCATACACTGACTGAAATAAAGAATAAATACAAAGATCAAACAGCAGACTAGAGGATCCCAAGATTCAAGTCAAAGATTTCAATTACAAAAAAAGCAAAAGACACTCAACCATAAAAGCAAAAAGAAAAAAGAATCCAAAAATATGAAGATAGTGTAAGGAGCCTCTGGGACAACTTCAAGCATACCAACATCTGAATTAAGGGGATGCCAGAAGAAGATAGAGAGTAAGATATTGAAAACTTATTTGAAGAGATAATGACAGAAAACTTCCCCCACCTGGTGAAAGAAACAGACTTACAAATCCAGGAAGTGCAGAGAACTCCAAACAAAGATAAATCCCAAAAGGACCACACCAAGACACATCATAATTATAATGCCAAGGGCAAAGACAAAGAGAGAATATTAAAAGCAGCAAGAGAAAACCAGTTAGTTACCTACAAGGGAGTACCCATATGATTTCCAGCTGATTTCTCAACAGAAACTATGCAGGCCAGTCGGCAATGACAAGAAATATTCAAAGTGATGAATAGCAAGAACCTACAACCAAAATTACTCTACCCAGCAAAGCTATCATTCAGAATTGAAGGTCAGATAGAGAGCTTCAAAGATAAGAAAAAGCTAAAGGAGTTTATCACTGCCAAATCAGTATTATATGAAATGCTGAAAGGTATTCTTCAAGTAGAGGAAGAAGAAGAAAAAGGTAAAGATAAAAACTATGAACAACAACGTGACAACATATACCTATCTGTCAACAAGTGACTCTAAAATTCAAGTGAATAAAAAATCTGATGAACAAGATAAACTGGTTAATATAATAGAATCAGGGGCATAGAAAAGGAGTGGACTGACAATTCTCAGGAGGAAGGGGGTTTTGAGGGTGCAGGAAGAGTCTGGACAAAAATTATACACCAATGGATGAGGACAGTGAAGGGGGCCGGGAGGTAAAGGCAGAAGGTGGGGTGGGAACCAGGTGGAAGGGAGTTATTTGGGGGGAAAAGAGGAACAACTGAAATAATCTGAACAATAAAGATTTATTTTAAAAAATTAAAAAATTAAAAAATATATGTAGCCAAGCATATGACATGATGGGTAAGGCCACACAATGATCTTGTGGTGGAGGTGATTCAGCAGATACTATACATCCTTGGTATGTCAGTGGTAGGTGATCAGGGCTCAAGGACATTAGGTATCTCACCAGCAGGGAGTAGGTTAGTTATGAAGGTGAGAGTCACAGGACCCAGGCTGCAGGATGTCAGGAGTCTGAAATCAGAGTACCTGTTTCCTACTCTCCTTGATGCTGAGGACACTTTGATAAGGAAAGTGGTCCAGTCCATGTCAGAATCTCATTCTTTACATCTTCTTTACTTGACCATTTTGTCTTTTTTTCATCATGTAGGGGAAGTTTTCTGTCATTATTTCTTCAAACAGCAGGAAGGCAGCAGATCATGATTACAAAATGGGTCCTGTTGATTTTACATGGATTGATATAGTAGAATTACACTAATTAAAAAAAAAACAGTACCTTGTGTACTATATTAGTGTATCAATAGCAAAGTGTTGGATTTATATAGTTACTTCCACCCTTATTCATGGAGCAAAGAAATCCGAATGTTCTGTTGCTAGATAATAGTGTCACTTGGTCACAATCTTGGGGAAAAAAAAAAAAAAAAAAAACCTCAAAAGTCAAATAAATGGTCAGGAAAAAGACCTCAGATAACTATTCTTAAGACCAAGATGTAGTTTTAAAGGCTGCCCTCCAGCATGCTATTGATTTACATAGTGATTTCTCATTAACTTTTGCTATTTGTCCAGTTGGAATGACTGGTTAAGCATTGATTAATGAAGCATGAGGTTCCAGGTTCCATCACAAGTCCAATTGCAGGCTTAATCCCTAGTCCAGGAGCAAGCAGGAGGCAGCTGATCGATGTCTCTCCCTCATCAATGCTTCTATCTCTCTATCCTTCTGCCTTCCTCTCTCTCTAAAATTAATAAAAGTGTGTGCGTTTTAAATCTAAAGCCTGAACAGGATAATTTGCTGCCTACCCATTTCATAAATTTAAGAAACTGATGCATATAAGTAGTGAAGAGGAAGAAAAAGCCTCAGAGAAATCAACACTTTAGATATCAATTTGTATGTTTAATTCATTTAGATACTCAGACATCCTTATAAACTCAAGTTTTCCACAATGTGAATTGTCATAAGATTTCTAATTTTTTGTACATTTGTAATTTTTACTTATAAATTACAGTTTTCTGACCACCACCTGTTACTTTCTAGATACTATGGATATTGGAAGCAGTTCTATTTTGGAGAAACACAGTGGGAAAAGAAGTAAGAGTGAATAAGAATTTACTTATTTTTATGTTACAAATTAACTGGTTTTTAATGCTAACATTTATTAACATTATTTTCTATACCTTTCATAAGGCAAAAAACAATGCCTTTTAAAGTAACTATTTTTTTTTCAAAATGCTCATATATTCATGTTGGTTTTTATTCTGATTTTGAAATATATATGTTTTATAAACATTGGTGTATGTCTTTCCAGAATTTTTCTATGCATGTATTTGCAGACTTTGGAATATAGTTTTATTTACCTAAATAGGTCAATTCTATGCATACCTCTCCTTTTCCTGCTTTTTAAAATTAATACATCCTATCTAATAAAAATGGAATATGGTAACTGACCCTCACACCATTGCAAAGATGGCAGCGCCACAGCCAATAAGGAGAGAATATGCTAATTAACTGTCACATCCTCAAAGATAGCAGTGCTCACAGCCACAAGATAGTGGTGCCCAGTCCCCTCAACCCCACTGGGGCAGCAGGTGTGCAGCAAAGCTGGGCCCACCCCCAGGACTGCCCAACTGCTCCATGCACCTACCTCCAGAGTCCTCCAGTCCCTTCAGACCCCCAGCCACCCAGGGCCAGCCCTAGGTGCAGCAATCTTCAGATAGTGGCTGCCCAGCCTCTTAGAGCCACCCAAGGCTCAGGTAACCAGGGCTGGCCAAACCTTGTGCTGCCGGCAGTGGCAGTAGCAGATGTGTGATGGGACATCACTGCCCCCTGAGGCCTCCTGGACTGTGAGAGGGGGCAGGCCGGGCTGAGGGACTCCCCCTCCATTAAGTGAGTTTTCATGCACTGGGCCTCTAGTAGACAATGAAAACATTTAATATTTTAATAGCTATAAAAAGTCTTATTTAAGGGCTTTAACATGCACTATTTTCATTTTTGGTGCAGTAGAACATTTTTTTATTTGTTTTAGTCATTTGTTTTGCTTCTTTGTAAAACTCTTTGTCATGGAATGTTATGTCAGTACTTTCTGTATGGTGTTTGTCTTCTTACTATGCTGTATGAATACAGAATTCTTATATGATATGTATTAAATATGATTATAAATATTACTAGTATATTGTCCCACTTGTTTTTATTTTTTATTTATTAATATAATCTTGCCTGAGAGAAGTTATAAATTTGTAGGTAGTCAAATTTCTCATCTTTTTCTCTTTAATACTATCATATTTACAACAGCCATTTCTAGTTGAAGATTTAGAAAGTATTATTCTATATTTAATTCTAGTGTGTTTGAAATATTTGACCATTTTCCATGTGTGCATTTATATTTAATATTTAGAAAGTATTATTCTATATTTAATTCTAGTATGTTCGAAATATTTGATAATTTTTCATGTGTGCATCGCTGAATTTTGCTTCTTTGTGTATATGTGAGATGGAAATCATTAAATATTCCCTCCACTATTACATTATGGTTTGAATCACTTCTTTGATTGCACAGTGCCTTTACCTGTTTATCTACTAATTTTTGTCCCTCGATTGAAGGATTTACAGAAAAGAAAGTTGATCCAGGGCTCCCGCCATCTTAATGACTCACTGGGAGTGAATTTTCTTAAATATATTTTTATTGATTTCAGAGATTTAGGGAGAAGGAGAGGTAGAAAGAAACATCAATGACAAGAATCATTGACAGGCTGCCTTCTGCATGCCCCACACTGGGGATCAAGCCCACAACCCGAGCATGTGCCCTTGATTGGAATCAAACCCAGGACCTTTCAGTCTGCAGGCCGACGCTCTGTCCACTGAGCCAAACCAGCTAGAGCAAAATATATTTTTAAAAATAATATTTTATTGCTAAAAAATGTTACCCATTATCTGAGCCTTCAGATAGTCATAATCTTTTTGCTGGTGGAGTATGTTGGTGTCTGCTAACTGATTAGGGTGGTGGTTGCAGAAGGCTCAGATGACTGTAGCAATTAAAAAAAAAAAAAAAAAAAAAAAAAAAAAGACAACCATGAAGTTTGCTAAATTATTGAGTCTTCCTTTTATACATAATTTCCCTATAGTATATGATTAATGCTATTTTACACACAATAGAACTTATTTCAAAATTGGATTCAATCCTCTTAAACTTTGCCACTCCCTTATCAACTAATTTCTTTTACTATCAAAACCTTTTACCTTTTATTGTAATTCAAAAATTTTCACAGCTTCTTCCCCAGGAGTAGATTCCATCTCAAGGAACCACTTTCTTGGCTCATCCATAAGAAGCAGTTCCTCATCTGTAAAAGATTTATCATGAGCCCTAGCTGGTTTGGCTCAGTGGATAGAACATCGGCCTGTGGACTGAAGGGTCCCAGGTTCGATTCTGGTCAAGGGCACATACCTTGGTTGTAGGTTCCTCAGACCTGGCTATTGTGTGTACAGGAGGCAACCAATCAATGTGTCTCTCTCACATCAATGTTTCTTCTCTGTCTCTCCCTCTCCCTTCCACTCTCTTTCTTAAAAAAAAAAAAAAAATCAATAGAAAATAACTTCAAGTGAGGATTAACAGCAACAAAAATTATCAAGAGATTGCAGCAATTCAGTCACATCTCCAGATTTCACTTCTATTTCTAGTTCTCTTGCTATTTCTATCACATCTACAATTACTTCCTTCACTAAAGTCTTGAACTCCTCAAAGTCAACCATGATGGTTGGAGTCAACTTCTTCCAAATTCCCTGTTAATGTTGATATTTTAATCTCTTACCATGAATCAAGAATATTCTTAGTGGCATCTATAATGCTGAATCCTTTCCAGAATATTTACTTTTCTATAGCTGCCATAGATAATTATTTCATCAGAAGAATAATTATCTATGGCAGCTATAGTCTTATGAAATGTATTTTTTTTTTTTCAACAGAGAGGAAGGGATAAGGATAGAGAGCTAGAAACGTTGATGAGAAAGAAACATTGACCAGTTGCCTCCTGCACACCCCCCACCGGAGATGTGCCCGCAACCAATGTACATGCCCTTGACTGGAATCAAACCTGGGACCTTTCAGTCCTCAGACCGACGCTCTATCCACTGAGCCAAACCAGTTTCGGCTGAAATGTATTTCTTAAATAATAAAACTTAGAAGTCAAAATTACTCCTTAATCCATGGGCTGCAAAATAGATATTGTCTTAGCAGGCATGAAAGTAACATTAATGTCATTATACATCTCCATCAGAGCTCTTAGGTGACCAAGTGCCTTATTGATGAACAGTAATATTTTAAAGGAAATTTTTTTTTTTCTGAGCAGTAGGCCTCAGTGATAGTAAGTCATGTTATAACCAAATATGCTGTCATCCAGGGCTATTTTGTTGCATTTATGGAACACAGGTGGAGTAGATTTAGCGTAATTCTTAAGGGCCTTGGTATAATATTTTCAGGATGATAAAAGAACACTGGCTTCAGCTTAAAGTCACAGCTGCACTAGTCCCTCACAAGAGAGTCAGCCTATCCTTTGAAGCCAGACACTGATTTATCTTCTCCAGCTATGGAAGTTCTACATGAAATCTTCTTTCAATATAGAACCATTTTTTCTATATTAAAAAAATCTGTTGTTTAGTGTAGTCACCTTCATTCATTATCTTAGCTTAGATCTTCTGGATAACTTCCTGCAGCTTCTACATCAGCATTTGCTGCTTCGCCTTGCACTGGTATGTCATGAAGATGGATTCCTTCCTTAAATCTCATGAACCAACCTCTGCTAGCTTTCAAGGCAAGCCTCTAAATGCCAGGATGTACATTTTGCTGGGGATGTCTGAGATCTGTTGTTCCTTGATTTCCTTGACACTCCCTTTTATTTGCTGTCAGCTTCTTCCTGATTTCAGCTGCTCTTACATTTTCCTTATTGTGAATAAGAAAACCTCGTATGACTATGCAAAAGCATACTGTAAAGGACTGGTACTGTGTAAAGGTAGGTTGTTTTTATTGCTATTATTGCTTTCAGTGTGATGGCAACCAAGACGGTGTATTGGTACCTGGAGATTTATCCCCACAAAAGTTGAGTGAAGACAAAATAGCCCTAGCCAGTTTGGCAGAGTGCCAGCCTGTGGACAGAAGGCTCTTGTGTTCACAAGGGCATGTACCTTGGTTGCAGGCTCCATACCCAGTCTGAGCTAGTGCAGGAGGCAACCAATCAATGTACCTCTCTCACATCAATGTTTCTCTCTCTTTGTCTCTCCCCTCCCTTCCACTCCATCCAAAAACCAGTGGAAAAGTATCCTCTAAATTTTGATGAGGATTAACAAACATAAATAAACAAAAACAAAACAAAATACCAAGATAGACAAAAATAAAATATTTGAAGGTTACTGACATATAAAGCTTGTAATTCTCTACTTATAATTCTAAATGATTATTTTATTTTCTGTTTAAAGGAAAAAAGAGAAAGCACATAAGTAAAAAAAACAGTCCCCAAAAAGGTAAGAATAAATGTGAGAATTCACACTTAAAGACCTAGTCTTCCTGCCAGATCCTGTCTTTGCCTTAGCCCCAAAATAGCCTATGGGCTTCATAGCTAATGGATTATTTAGAGTACATATTGAATTGTTGTAACAAAGAGTACATATTGAATTGTTGTAACAAAATACAGTGACCTAAATCACATAATATGTTTCTCTTTCATCAAACAGGTAGGAAGAACCTGCCCATTTCTTCTGAGTATTTCTGTCACCATATATTCATGTATGGCACATAATAAGCATGTGTTCACTATTAGCTCTCATTATTATTATTCTCAGTGTTTCTTGAGATGAAAATTAAACTCTGTCTTAAATTCCTTTTTTAATTAATGTGGGTATAAATAACTTAGGATTAATGTGAGATTAAAGAAAATTAAATCAAAAATTAAACTTGTTTAAACATTTAAGGCTTGGTTAAATATAAGGCTATGGGTTATATATTTTTCTTTATATAAGTCTTGTTATATAAGTCTTGTTGGGCTCTTGAAAAGTTACAGTAAAAATTGAATGTTTAAAAAGCAATATTATATACAATGTGATTTTTCACAGTGTCTGTTTTATTTTTTCAGTGAAAAACAGCGGCAGAGATAAAATCCAGTCTCTGAATAACAGAGTACCAAGGAAAAGAAGCAAACCAAAAGGTAAAAATTTTAAAGATACATTTTCAATTACTAAATATCTAAATTCTCGTGCTATATTCTTTGCCTTAAGTAACAAACTTATTTCCCTAATAACTGTATATAACTATACAAACTGTTGAGGAAGATATCAGATTTAGTCAATTCCAAAATGCATTAGGGGTTGAAAGATAACACTGCAAACAAGTAACTTGGTAATGAATTCACAAACAGAATCCAGGGCCTAGGGGCCATGGCAGGGCCAGCTCTGCTGAACTGCTAATGTTGTAGTTAGAAATACAGCTGTGGTGTTTTTCTAAAACTCGACTATTTGCAATGCAATTTTATAAATAAGAGACATTTATGTTATTTTTCTCCCATAGGGACAAAAGCAGTCAACACTAGGCCTTTGAAAAGAAGGAGAAAAAGAGGTAAAAAGAAGTGGTTTATATTCTTTTAGTAATTAAGCATCTAAATTTTTATTTTATACCCTGTGTTCTGAGTGACCAATTTCTTAATTGGCTTATAGAGCAGGTAACAAACATCATGATCATCATTGGCAATTTCAACAATACAACACGTGGCTGATAACACCCATTTTATTGATGCTGATCAGTTGATCTGTGAGAGAGCACAAGCCTCCTTGGGCTTATGAAGGGCTCCCTTCACTACACTGATAACTTTTAAGGAGAAAACTATAAAGTGTGTGACTAACATGCTGTTTAATTGACCCTTCTCTTGATCACATAGAGACCCATCGGTGGCCCTCCAAGGGGGACCCTGAGTGGTAATATAAGTCTTGTGTCCTAATTTCTAATATTTGTTTGATTATGTAATTTTTGCTTGTCATTTCTTCTTTTTGCCTCAATTTCCTCCTCTGTAAATGGGTGAGTGGTAGATGAACTCAACTGAGTGGCCTCCTAGGCCCCCTCCAGCTTTAAAAGAACTGACTCTGAAAGGATCAGGGACAAGCTACCCTCCCCATCCCAGACAGAAGACTGTGTATATCTTTCATGGATCTCCCTCAATGTTGGCCAGAAGGACAGGAGTAGGTGCTGCTGCTTCTAATGTTCATTTTAAGACTTTCAGCCTGCCTGATGTGGCACAGTGGTTGAGCGTTGACCTATGAACCAGAGGTCACTGTTCGATTCCTGGGCAGGGTACATGCCCAGGTTGTGAGCTCAATGCAGGAGGCAGCCTATCAATGATTCTCTTTCATCAATGATGTTCCTCTCTCTCTCCCTCTCCCTCCTTCTCTGAAATCAATAAAAATATATATTTTTAAAATACTTTCAACCCCTACTTCAGCAGAATCAGACCCAGTGCCCCACCCCAAGGATGTACAGCGGACCTCTTCCTGGGGGATCTGCAGTTTCTTCTAGAGCACCCGACCCTGAATCACAGAGTGAAAGCCATACAGAAAGTTCACATGAAAGAGAAATGAAACAAGGCAGAGAGCAAGGAGGGAAGGCAGACTGTTCCTGCTAAGTTCCTCATTGTCATCCTGCTCTCTGATCCCCCAGCAAGGCCTCACATGGGGAGACAACACTAAAAATTGAGGGGTGCCAAAACTGTTTTTGGCTCAGTGGATAGAGCATCAACCTGTGGAATAAAAAGTCCCAGGTTCAATTCTGGTCAAGGACATGTACCTTGGTTGAGGGCACATTCTCAGTAGGGGGTGTGCAAGAGGCAACAGATCGATGGTTCTCTCTCATCGATGTTTCTAACTCTCTATCCTTCTCTCTTCCTCTCTGTAAAAAATCAATAAAATATAGTTTTTTAAATGAACGGTTATTTTCCATCCACATAATTCAAAGTAATAATATGGCTAGAAATCTTCCTTAAAAAACAGAAGAAAAATCATTGTGCAATAGGTAGTTGTGGCCAACAAGTTTGGGAATTCAGGTCCTTCACATGAGACTGTGATGTAGGATTTCAGAGAACAGAAGTGGAGGATGATATTATCATGTGTGTCTTCTAACCTCCCATTAAAGAAAAACGTTGATCATGGGGAAACTCCCTTCAATACATTTTGATTTATAAAAGAAGGCTCTCAAGATAGTGAGAAGAGAGAGGGCACACTTAGAAGAAGGTGGAATAAAAATAATAATAATAATGATAATTAATAATAATAATAATGCTTCCTTGCAGGTCCAAGAATTCCCAAAGATAAACATATGAACTTTAAACTCCCCATACTTCCCGTGACCTGTGGCCCAGCAAAGGGGATGTTATATAAAGAGAAAATGAAACAGGGTAAGTTTCCTGGTCTTCTACGCTTTTCAACTAGAAACCACCCATGTGGATATTATATTGTTCAGGGGCAACAAAGGAAGCTCAGCCTGTCTTGCCCGGTCTCACAGGAATCTCAGCAAAGTGTATAAAGACAAATAATGGGAAGCAGCTCACCCTCAAGGAATTTGAAATTGAAGGAAACCACGAAAGGAGCAAAAATTGGAGGATGAGTGTGCACTGCGCTGGATATACCCTGAAACACCTGATTCAGGTATAATAGTGACAAAGGGCTTCCATTAAGAATGGAGTGTCATAGTTCACAAACTCCAAGCTTTATCGATGTTCAGAAAACCTTCATGACTTCCCTTGCACAGGTCACAATGCATGCTATTACTAACTAACATTCCACTCCCGCGTTATCTTGGCCAGTTTATCACAGTGTAATCCTCTAAGTGCATGAACTCTTCTCTCTTTGAAGGTAGAAAGTAATTGTGGCCTTGACTCTGTCACTAGTAGTTGCCACTGTGTAATATGGTCACAAGAAAGTAATTTAAATTGGGGTTAGGGGGCAGAAGAGGCCATCTTAGGCTTCGGGGACCAATAAAGTAGCATAGTAACATATCTGGGAAGCAGCTGGAAATACCAAGCTCAAAACAGTAGAAAAAGTACAGAAGTACAAAGACTATAAAAAGGCTCATAGCATTAATCTCATTTCTCTTTCAGAAGGGATTTCTAACAGATCCACCAAGAAAAACGAAGGTAATTATTGCATGACTTTCTGCCAATATTTCACCTATCATATTGTTGATTTTCCATTTATCTGGCCTTATTCTATAGCTCCTAACTTCATTAATTCTAGTAAAATTTGATTTTATAATATGGATATTTTTGCACTTGCTGCTTTCAAACATTACAGTGTCTAGACCGAATGATTGATATATATATATATATATATATATATATATATATATATATATATATATCTTTATTGTTCAGATTATTACAATAGTTCCTCTTTTATCCCCCCATAACTCCCCTCCACCCAGTTCCTACCCCACCCTCTGCCCTTACCGCCCCCATCATTGTCCTCATCCATAGGTGTACAATTTTGTCCAATCTCTTCCCCACCCCCCACCCCCCTTTTTTCCGAGAATTGTCAGTCTACTTCCTTTCTATGCCCCTGATTCTATTATATTCACTAGTTTATTCTGTTTATCAGATTTTTTTATTCACTTGATTTTTAGATTCACTTATTGATAGATATATATTTGTTGTTCATAATTTTTATCTTTACCTTTTTCTTCTTCTTCCTCTTCTTAAAGAATACCCTTCAACATTTCATATAATACTGATTTGGTGGTGATGAACTCCTTTAGCTTTTTCTTATCTGTGAAGCTCTTTATCTGACCTTCAATTCTGAATGATAGCTTTGCTGGCTAGAGTAATCTTAGTTGTAGGTACTTGCAATTCTTCACTTTGAATATTTCTTGCCACTCCCATTTGGCCTTGCATAGTTTCTGTTGAGAAATCAGCTGACAATTGTATGAGTGCTCCCTTGTAGGTAATTAACTATTTTTCTCTTGCTGCTTTTAATATTATCTCTTTGTCTTTGCTCTTGGCATTTTCATTATGATGTGTCTTGGTGTGGTCTTCTTTGTATTCCTTTAGTTTGAAGTTCTCTGCACTTCCTGGACTTGTGAGTCTATTTCTTTCACAAGGTAGGGGAAGTTTTCTGTCATTATTTCTTAAAATAGGTTTTTAGTATATTGCTCTCTCTCTCTTCTTCTTGAACCCCCATAATTCTGATGTTGGTACACTTGAAGTTGTCCCAGAGGCTCCTTACACTATCTTCATGTTTTTGGATTCTTTTTGTTTTTTGCATTTCTAGGTGGGTGTTTTTTGCTTCTTTGTATTTCAAATATTTGACTTGAATCTTGGGATCCTAGTCTGCTGTTGGATCACCTATTTTTTTATTTCAACCAGTGTAGGCTTAATTTCTAGTTGGTCCTTCTTCATATCCTCAAGGATCTCAGTAAATTTATTGGCCTTTTCTAGAAAATTCTTGAAAAACCTTATAACCTCGGTTTTGAACTCCATATCCAGTAGTTTTCTTTCCTCCATTTCTTTCATTTGTGATATGTTTCTCTGTCTCGCATTTTGGGTGCTTTCTTGAGTTGATAGAGTGGCTTTATGTGCTAGGTATCCTATAGGGTCCAGTGGCTCAGCCTCCCCAGTTACCTGAGGTAGACACTGTTGATGAACCCCTTTGTGGGCTGTGTGCACAGTCTTGTTGTAGTTAAGCCTTGATTATTGTTGGTATCACTGGGAAGAATTGACCTGCAAGCCAATTGGCTATGAGGATCAGCTGTATCTACGATGGGATAACTTTTGTGCTGGAGACAGCCTTATAGGGCAAGACTTGCTTCAGTGGGGCTTTAGTGCTCACTGAGTCTGCTCCCTGACTGTGTCTCTAGTAGTCATAATCTGGATGGTCCTACTCTGACACCCTACACTGGCTCTTGGATCTCCAAGGAGTTGCTAATTTAGCCTCAGTCTGAGGCCACTCAGCAGGAACTACAGAGGTATCTGCAGGTTTCTTTTCTTTGTTTGGGTTTTGGAAGTCCCCAGATTAGGCCTAGGTGTGAAGCAATACAGGCTGCTGTGGAGCCTTGGGCCTTCTTTTGGGTGTTCTGAGTCTCTCTGACTCAGCTGAAATTTGTTAGGTAAGTTTAGATTTCAAAGGATCAAAAGCCTCTTCGCACAGCTTGGATGGGGTGGAGTCTCAGGGTGGAGCAAACTGCAATGTCTTCCTGTCAGCCCTGCCCCAAGAGGTCCCTGGGTCTCAGTGTCCCATGGTAATCACTACAAGCACCTCTGAAAGAAAGCCGCTGTCGAGTTCTGCCTGATGCCAGACAGTCCAGTTTCTCCCCATATGAGTCTGGGTCCCCAGAATCTCACCCATAACTGGTGTTCAGAGCAGTCGGGAGCTTGTGTCTCCCTTCAGATTGAAAAAGTCAGTCGTGTACTCAGTTGCCAGCCCTCTCTGCGCGATCACCTCCATACCTCTGCACTTTACTTCCGCAGCTCCTCTGAGTCTCAGTGTGCTTTTCTCTTCCCTTCTAGTTGTAGAATTTCCACTCATCCAGCCTTCCTGTGATTCTGGATAATACCCGTTTTGTCTTTTAGTTGTTGTGCGAGGCAGCAAGTTTAGGTGTTTACCAATGCGGCCATATTAATTTTTTATCTCATTATTTTTTTAATTGCATGTAAAATATACATACTGGCCCTATTCGGTTTGGCTCAGTGGATAGAGAGTTGGCTTGTGGACTGAAGGGTCCCAGGTTTGATTCCAGTTAGTGGCATGTACCTTGGTTGTGAGCACATCCCCAGTATGGGCTGTGCAAGAGGTCGCTGATAGATGTTTCTCTCTCGTCAATCTAGACCAGAACTTCTTTAAGCATTAAAACATAGGAGATAGAGGTGAGAATAATCCTTTAAAATAGATAATGAAACAGAACTGACCTTATATGATTATTTCAACTTCATTGTCTAACATGGGAGAATAACTCATTGGATGAGGTTGGATTCTAGGACACCCAGAGATGCAAGCAGTTACATGGCTGCCTCTTTGGTCATTATGCCTTGGATCTATTGGGTGGCTTCTCTATGGCCTCTCTGTCCCAACTGGAGGTAAGAACTCCGGTAGTCATCGCCCCAGGCTGAAAGGAGGCCCAATCATTTCATAGATACCCAAGGTCAATGCAAGCCTTTGGATTCAGGAGATAGTGGGGAGGTACTCACCTTTAAGAAAAGATGCAGAACTGGGACTTTGTACCCATTTTATCTTTAGAGCTGTGTCACAGGAGAGCTGCAGAAGGCCATGGAGTCTGCAGAAACATTTGTATGGCACCAGGAATCTGGACCCTGTGGTCACTGGGGGCTGTAGGTGATTAGTTCTCAGTCTGAGTCTCTCATTTAAGCTCCAACTCCATCTGTGAAAACCAGCGCCAGCCTCCCTCCTTACATGGCTTCACAAAAGCCCCCTTGGGTCTAAGATCCACAGAATGGAATCTGCATTGAGCCAAACCATCACTGACACATAATTTAATGTTTTTTATTCTCCAACTAGATATATAGACTCACAAAAGGAGATGTACACCAAAGGGAATGTATGAATCCTTTGTATAAAAAGTATGCTCAAATGTGTGGTTAATGAAAACTCAATATTGTTTTTGAATAATGAGTATTCAATATTGTCACTCAATCTTACTCTATTTTCTATAGATAATACCAGAGTCTCAGAGTGATAACATTGTTGACCCATATGTAAGTATTGCACCTGTAACCCCAAAATAATCCAGGCCTCTTCAGTACATCATCTCTGTCATTGCCATCTTTCCCTGAAGCATGCTCACACTCAGTTAGAACATGTCACTATGTGTGATGAGCAGAGAACAGCATATGCATCACCCACACCAAGTAGATGGTTCTGGAGTTGGGTGTCTCAATATGAAAGTATCATTTCCATTTGTTTGGTGGAAACCATCCTGTTTTCCCATTAGTTTGGAAAGCAAAGCTCTAAACTACTGGGGTCTCTAGAGATGGGTCTTGGAGTAGAAATAGGCAAGGCTGGCCTAAAGATTAGGGTAGGGAGAAAATTTGAGAGGATATCAGAATTTTAAAGAAAGCAGAAGAGAAGAAAAGGAAAATCTCAAACATCTACTCCATGGTGCAGGCAATGATAAGATGGTTTCATACATCAAACAAAAGGAACAGGCCTCACCAGGCTGGTAAGTTCAAGGTGCACATCCTGTCATTAGTCCTGCAGAGAAATGTACTCAGTGCAAAAAGATCCTTTATGGATCCACTTCATTGTATAACATGGGAAAATAAATACTGGGGTGGGTGGGTGTCCTAGGACACTCAGAGAGGCAGGTGGTGACATCGTCACCTCTCAGTTCATTATACGTTGGATCATACTAGGTAGTTTGTCCATGCTCTCTGCTCTGGGCTGTAGGTAAAAGCTGAGGCAGTCATTGTTACAGACTGGAAGGACATCAATTCATTCCAATGATATCTAAGGTTCAGAAACCTTGACCCAAAAGCCTAACAATAATGGACAAAATCCATGACTCTCATTTGTTATGACAAAAAAAAAAAAAAAAGGATAAACAGTTACATGGCCCCATGAGAGAGAGCCAGTGAGGCCCATGTGAGGATGTGTACAAGGATGTCCCTAAAGAGGCATTATACAAGTTTTCCTATTGAAAGGGAGAACATGGGCAAGAGACATATTGCAGCTTAGAATTTCCTTATGCATGTGACTTTTGTGTCTCTTCTTATATTAAATTTATAATTGCAGAGAATTTAAAAACTGGGGTATAGTCCAATTCACCTAAGATCATTGGACCCAGAGATGATATTCTGACTTATGATTTGTAACTTTAGTAGCAGACCTTTTTTTTAAAAAAAAAAAAAAAAAAGATGGTATTGTGATTAGGGCCTCTACATTCTTGTAGCAATGGAACTCACAGAAGCACTACAATGAGATGAGATATTTAAAAATTGGGATTTGCAACACTGTTGATGGATTGGATATCCAGGTATGGAAGAAAGCAGAAACCATGTTCACTTCTGGGCTCCTGGGTGAATTATGGGCTCCTTGATGAGATGGAAGCTAAAAGAGGAGCAGATTACAGACATGAAGACAAGGCATATAGTTAGGGACAGGGTGGATTTTAGACTTGATGAAAGACTTCTAACTGGAGATGATGGAAAATAGAGTGTGGAGGGTTAGGGCCTCTGAAGGAGACCAGAGACAAAGGTTTTAAAGTCTAAGGATATGTAAGGTAAGCATGGTCATGGGAGCCGTGAAGGAGTGGGGAATGTAGGACATTCCCCAAGGAATTCCAACATTCTAAGAGAGGAGCCTCCAAGAGAGGCAGAGTTTTAGAGGGGAGGAGGAGGGAATCCAAGGTAGTAGAGAGTCAGAGAACAAAGCATAGTGTTTCTAGAAGGAAGAAGTAGAATGGCACTTCCTGTCACCTCCTCACTTCCTCATCACCCACCAGCATCTCAACCACCTATCACTGAGAGAGCTAGTCCTCATGTCTGTGCATTATTTTGTACCTACATTGTCACAGGAGAATGTGAATTCCTCCTTCTAACCCATTGTATAGACAAGATATTTTCATCCAAATGTAGAGATGTTACCAACACATTGGATGAGACATTCCCCCACCACAGAGTTCTCAAACAGTTATCTTTCTGCTCAGGTGGAGCCAAAAACTTCTGCACATTTCTCCATCACAGACACATGACCCTCATACATATAAATTTAATATGTAAAGATTCACATGTTATTACCACATAGATTATTACACACACACACACACACACACACACGCACACACACACACGGAAAAACATGATTTTCTCACAGCCCGATGGACACATTCCTTGTCCAATTCTTATATTTGTCTATAATTTCTACTATCTTCAGTGTGTTTTTTTTCATTCCACAATACTTAGACATAAACACTGTCAAGTTATTGACTTCACTAAATGAAAGTAAATCAAAATGTCTTCTTCTAAAATCTCTGCTCAGTGTTATTCTTTAATATTACAAGTTTCACCTTGGCACAAGCAAAACCTGTGTGTTCTAGAGTCCAACGATGTTGTCCTTCTGGAATCTCTCTGATCCCAATGATATCTACATTATCTCCTTTTCTAGCCAGAAAACTCAAATATATGTGTGGTGTGCCATAAAGGAGGAACACTATTTTGCTGTGATACTTGTTCAAGATCCTTTCATGAGACATGCCACATCCAACATATCGATCCTGACAGGTTAGTGACACTTGGCCCCCTCTTGCCCTTCCTTCTTGTGGGATAGCTCTTTCCACCATGCACACTCAGCCTGCAAAGTTTATCTGCTTGTATGCATCTTGATGCAGAGGGAGCATGGTCCTTAAGTATCAGGATCGAGAAATATGATCCAGAGCTATTTAATTGTGCTGACAGCAGTAGATTCATGGGAAGTGAAAATTCCTCAAGTGGTTTTAATGTGGAATAGAAAGAGGTGTCACCACCACCTCCCCTGCTTTGTTCCCTAACCCATGCACTTTGATGGGATGATGACACCATACATTAGCTGCTGGTTGGAAACATATACCACCTGCCTTGGGAACATCTCAAAACTGGAAAAGCTGGGGCTGTGATGAGTCCTCTGAAAGCCATACCCATGGTCTATCAGATCAGCTGACACTGAGTGACAGGGTCCATAATAAGAATCATGAATTCTGAGGATGAGTCCACTGCTGCATTTCCTTTGCTGTAAAATCTATCCTTGGTCAGAAGTGATGGTACGCAGGCTAACATGGAGATTTGCTAAGGCATCTATAAGTGGTGGTGTGGGCAGAGGATGTCTACCAAGAATGTGTGTATCCCCATGAGGACAGAGCATTGCCCTCTGTAATGGGAAGAATCTAATGTAACCCAGCTGCTCTCAGGTAGCTCCCAGGCAGTGGTGCCACCTCAGGGATTTGGCATAAACCTCTCTAGTCAGTCAGGCGGTCTGCAGAGGCTAAAGGCAGATCCACTTTTTTGTTAAACCCACAAGTAGTCCCCATCCTTGAACCATGGACACTGTGTAATGGGCCTTTTTTTTCAATTATAATTGACATTCAACATTATATTATTCATTTTAGGTATATAACATAGTAAATAGACATTTATATAATTTACCTAAATAAGTCTAGTACACATCTGACACCATACATAGTTAACATAATGTTACTATTTTCCCTATGCTATATTTTACATCCCCATAACTGTTTTTATAACTGACAATTTGTACCTATTAATTTGTAATGGGCCTATGAGAAAGGATTGAAGTGGCCCAGGGGAGAAGCTAAATGATATCTCTAAGATGAATCATTGTGTCCATCGGATTGTGGAGAGTCTCCCAGCACAGAGAACCTGGGAGAGCCGGCTCTAGAGGCAAATAGAATATCTGAAACTCTGTTGGTAGGGTTCCTTCCCAAGAAGTCTCTGCAGCAAAGATTCTAGGTATAGATAAGGCAATGCCAGCAGGGAAAATGCCCATGGCTTGTTCTCTGTGCTTATTCAGCAAAGTTTAGAGACAAGAGCTGGTTTCTGACTTTTCCTATGGCCTGATGGTTCATCAAGGCCCAATACTTTGGTCCTTATGGTACTGGTTGCCAATACTCAAGTGTGGCAGACAGGGATCATTACCATACTTATAGTGGCTCAATTGGAAACCCTAAGTTTTGAAGTGAATGAGAGTCCATCACCCACTATGGCACCTAACTCAACAGAGGGGTTGAATTAGGTGCAATTGAGTCTAAATGGGACTCTAGTGCAGAGGGGATTCCAAGATAAAAGTTGGCTTCAAGGTGGCCCTTTTGAGTATTTCAACAGCTGCAGGAATAATGGCTGCTTCACAGAGAACCTGCCCCTGCTCACTTCATGTCCTGCCTCTCAGGAACCCATGGAGTTGCATCTTCTGCCAGGTAAAGGTTATTCAGGAAAGGTGCCCAAAAAGTCAACCATGTCGTCTGGAATCGGAAGTCCTAGAACGGAAGATGCTACATGAGGAGCACGTGGTGAGTTGCAACGGGAAGTTGAAGCCTCCCCTCTCTGTTCAGTTGAGAGAAGAATCAGTCTTGCAGGGGCTGGAATAAAGGTGCCCAGAAGCAAGCTGCTGTGCTTTTTTCTCTGTGCTTTGACCACACCTAACACCAAAATGTGTAGCCAAAGGAAATCGCCTTTCTGTGTTTGTTTCAGAGTCCATGGGTTTGGGTGTTGTGCATTCTGCCTGAACATGCATAGCAGTTCATTCTCTCCAAGCTGCTTTTCACTTAAGATCTCCTATGTCTTTTGCAGAAATGTGAGTTACTCCTCTTGACGGTCTATGGCTGGTCAAAAAGCTCCTTTTTTGCCCCAAAACCATATTATGTAAGTAACAGCAACAAAATCCCAAACTGACATTTGTCAAATTTGTGATATGAATGCAATAGGTATAAGTTGCCATCATCATTGCCTTTTTTATGGATATCTCTGTCAACTTAGTCAGCCCTTAGCAGTTTAGGCTGCTGTAACAAAATACCACAGATTGGGTGACTTCAACAACAGAAATCTGTTTCTCACAGTTCTGGAGACCGGAAGTCCAAGATCTGAGTACCAACATGGTCAGATTCTGGTAAAAGCCCTCTTCCATGTTGCAGACTGACAAGTTCATGTTGTGTCCTCACATGGTAGAAATAGGGAGAGAGCTCTCTGAGGTCCCCTTATAAAGGACATTGATCCTATTCATGAGCACTCCACCCTCTTGACCTAATTATCTCCCAAAGGCCCCATCTTCTAATACCATCACATTGGGGGTTAGAATTTCAACATCTGAGTTGTGGGAAGTGGGGTGGGGGGAGAGACATAAATAGTCATAGCAGTGAGAGTCTATAGAAAGTAGACTTGGAACATGCCTATAGCCTGCCCTTTGACACTTTCATCCACAGAGTAAAAAGCCACCTCAGAGTCTGGAGAAGTGCATGTGGTTAAACAAAATCAGAGAAAATCTGGCTTCAAAGTTGTACCTCAAAGTGAAGGAGTTTGTGCAGGACATACGCCTCATCTTTCAGAACCACAGGTCAATTTACAAGGTAAGTGGCTGTCCCTGCATCCCTTTTGCTTTAGATTAAGTCACTTTGACTTTCCTCTTCTTATATCAGGTAAATGTTACACTCTCCTCATCATGCGGCAAGCACACACAAGTAAAAATTCTAGTGGTCTACAGAGGTGAAAATATAATAATCAACCAGAGGTATCTGTCCTAGGACCTAAGAGTCTGCTCACTGCTAGATAGCCAATTTTCTCCCAGAGAACAGTAGATTGCAGATCTAGTCCCTTTCGCAGGAAACAGAAGTGTTTTTAAAGGCAACCAGTGTTTGTCTTCTGTAAAGGAAGATATCAAATCAAATTTCTCAAATTTCAAAATCTTGGATTTTTTTACATCCAAATCTCCTAGTGCTATGTCAAAAACTTAACAAGGCCCTAGCCGATTTGGCTGAGTGGATATAGCGTCAGCCTGCAGACAACAGGTCCAAGGTTCGATTCCAGTCAAGGACAGGTACCTCAGTTGCAGACTCCTCCCTGGCCCAGCCCTGGTTAGGGCCCTTGACTGAGACAACCAATCAATGTGCTTCTCTCACATTGATGTTTCTCTCTGTCTTTCCCTCTTTCTTCCACTCTCCCCCAAAATAAATTTAAATAAATAAATAAATAAATAAATAAATAAATAAATAAATGGAAAATATATACTTGAGTAGAAAAATAGCTTCAGGTGAAGATTAACACACACACACACACACACACACACACACACACACACGTTAACAAGGATTGCCTCAAGGGGTGAGAATGAAGGGAGAAGAAGCACAATAAATTTACTGTAGACATTTCCATACCACTATATTGTTGCAAATAATATGGGCTGTATTCAAAACTCAAATAACTTCTATTTTGTCAAATTAAATCAATCAATCAATTTCTGGTGAAGAATTAGGCTGCAGTATAGTACTACTTTTGTTTCTCTGTCTTCCAGATAAAGAAAAACTGATCAAGCTATCAGAGAACATTAGCTATTCTTAACTGGATAAAGACGCACTTAACATTTGGGGGTGACCTGAAATGAAGATCTTGATTACCTGAAACTTTGGGAGTCTAAGCTCATTGGCAATGGCTTATGTTTTTCTCTGTGCTTTTTCAGGGCCAGAAATTCATCGGGCTGGGATTACAAGTAGAAAACAGATTTGAAAAAAACTTCAAAGACATTTTTGGAATTCAGTAAATCAGCAAGAACAATTCTCAGTCCAAGCCCATTACTTTGTGATTTTTGTCCAATTCTGTTTCCCCCTTCAGAGCCTCCAACAGTACGTGGTCAAGTGACCATGGTCCCACTAACCATTCTGCCTAATGATATGCAAAAACAATCATATCACACTTGTTTTTTCAAACTTATTTTGTCATTATTTCAGCTCATTTATTTTTCTAAAGAAAATGTAAGATTGCTTTGTCCAGATCTCTTATTAAATAAATTGGAGTGAAATTTAAAATAAAAATATTGATTCTTTCTATAAAGAATCATATCATGTGCTTTCATTTATTTAAATTATTTATTATTTTGTTAGGTAAAGTTTTCTCTCCTCTCCTCCTCCTGATATAGAACTTATTCATTTCTTGCTTTTTCTTTTTACTGTCAAGTATTTCATACTATTTCTTATTATTATGAAAGTGACCTTTTTCCCATTACAGTTTCTTACTTATTGTTGCCCCTTATAGAAAACTACCGTTATTTATATATTTTGGTAAAGCCAGTGTTTTTTATTTATTTTGGTTTCTGATTACCGTAATAAATACTTTTTTGCCTTTTACCCTGTGGCATCAGGAAGCACATAGTATAGCATACTGTTTCCATGGAGTCAGAATCCTAATTGATACAGCTAATAAAAGCATTCCTCACACTCTGACAGTTCTTGGTTCTGTTAGGGAATGGCTCTGCCATGACATCCTGATGACCTTGCATGTCTCCACACGGCCCACATAGGCAAGACTTAAATGCAGCTGATCTGATTTAGGCCTTGGAAGAATGCCCAGTGATTTTTCCAAAACATGAGAGCATGGGAGACTTGTGAGGAGCTGCTACAAAGCCATCTTCATTCATTGCCTTATCTTCCAGACGCTACCATGACTCTCTCCTTTCGTTCTGATGAGGTCTGAGGCCTTCTGATTCTTTATTTAGGGCACAGCTGTAGGCTATACAACTGCTGGCTGCAACATGAACCAACACTCATGTCACACCATAAGGATCCACAATCCCTTTGTTTGGGTACAACCCTATGATTCAGAGGACATGGGAAGCTGGTACCTTTGCTTTTCTTCCTTTTGTTGTCTATGAAGTATCAAACTGTCTGAATAGTAAAAGAATGCATCTTTTCTTTACCAGTCAAATCTTTTAGCTTTGCTTGACAGGTTCTCAGACCCAAAATACTACAGTTATAGGAAAAAGAATACCACATATTGGTAGCTGGTTCAGAGTATACACTATACCATTCAGAAAAGTACCTCAGCATCAGAAATTATTGTCTCCAGATAGCTCCAAATTTGAGTCTCCAATACACCATTCACCATTCAATAATAAGATTTTGTTATTGGAATAGAAAATTTTGAAGATTAAATGAATTTATGAATGTCAAGTGTTCAAAATCATGTCTGAAACACATGAATGTGACATCGTGGCTACACATAGTAGGGATTCTGTATTTAAAACGTTAACTCAAGCAAAAGGCAGCAATTCTCATTGTCTATTCAGCTAATTGATGGAAATGGAAACAAATGGAGGCCATAAAAACCAAGGTTGATATGTTTCCTAGCCCTTCCCAAAGAGACCAATGTCTATTTTCCAAGTTAATGGTGCTCTGGGAAAAGGAAAATACCCATATCCTTAAAGGATTATTGAAAAAGAATCCTCAGCTCATTCTAGAGGCCTGAAATGCCATAATGACCTAACAGAAGAGGTTAGGTGTAAAATTCAATTTCTACCTCATAGTCAATTTAATAAAAAAATAAAAATAATAAATAAATAAATAAATAAAACATTTCTTATTACAATTGATGGATTTAGGGATGATTCAAAAATAAAGGTGTCTGGAGCTCTGTCTCCCTTTACTGATGTTATGAGTATAAAAGGATGGTCACCTAAGTAGGTTAAATGTTCAGAGATCTGCCAGAGAATACATTTTCTTTCTGGGACTACAGTTATCTAGAAAAATGGATAAATTCCATCACAGACCAAATATTGCATATATCCTCCAAATTTTTCCATTCCCTTGCATTAAGACTGGCTGAGTGGTTAATACACTTACCAATGGGCTATGATCAGAGGTGGCATGTGTCATTTGCAAACTAATTCATAGGAGAGCAGTGATAATTCTCCATGCACATTGATTATGGAAGCCTAGTTTTGAGAGGACAGAGCCCAGAGAACTGAAACAGCCTAGTACATGTATTTACTAACACCTCAGAGGGGCTCCCAGGTGCACTGTGGGCTTTGAGTAAGCAAGAAGTAAACTTATTTGTGTAAGCCAGTGGAACTGAGATTGTTTATTGTCACTACACAAGCTAGCAAGTCTTGACTTATTTGGTATAATACTAAAAACAAGAGAATACTTGTAGGAGTGAACTTTGGGTTTTGGAGAACTGTGTGCCAGAAACCAGAGACAATGGCCAAAAACATATTTTTTTTTATTATAGGCATGCTATCTTGTTTCTATTCTGATGTCAATGTACAACACATGTGCAATAAACAGAGCCTTGTATCTCACATTTCTCAAGAATGGGTTCCCATGGTTAAGTGAACCATGGTCTGTGGAGTGCACTCAAAGTAAAATGTATCAAGCCCAGCTGGTGTGGCTCGGGTGGTTGAGGGTCGGCCCATGCACCAGGAGGTCACTGGCTTGATTCCCAGTCAGAGCACATACCTGGGATATGGGCTCAATCCCCAGTAGGGGGTGTGCTGAAGGCAGCCAATTGATGTTTCTCTCTCACTGATAACACACTCTCTCTCTCTCTTTCTCTCTGAAATAAATTTTAAAAAACATTAATTTATTTTTTTTTTTAAGTAAAACACATCAAGAAACAGGAGCTCTGAATTCAGATGCCAGATGCTCTGCAGGCCCAGGCTGGCCATCCTCACACTCCTCACCAGGCCCACATCTCGGTGCTGATCTCTGGACTTCTGGAGGCACTTCTTGCCCACTGGATTCACTGCTGATCACTGCACAAAGGAACCATGAGGAGTCTCCTTGTGGCAGCAAAAACACCATAATAAGGGGACTCCAGGAGAGACCCAGCAGCTTGCAGAACTTCTAGATAGGAATGTCCCTGCACCAGACAGTCTGTCTTCCCAGGGAATCCTGTGGCCTGCAGGCTACTGGTGCTTCAGGCACTCTCACTGGTAGAAGCTCCCTGCACTGAGCCCCAGTCGCCCTCTCTTGCACCACCACCACCTCACTCCACTCCACCCCTGTGCTCCCTTGCCCACCTCCTGTCACATCTGCTGTGACATACAAAGTACCATCACATGACAAACTCTCTTAGCCAGCCTTACCAATTATTTCAGGTACTTGGTCACATGCTGGCCTTGCTTGCTGGCCTCTTTTGTTTATCTGGGGGGAACAAGATGAAACTGTCTTCTGCATATCCATCAGACCCACAGCATAAGATTGCACTGGATTTTCATGTGTGGCTAGCTCTGCCCCTAAAACAAATAATGAGTCATGAAAAATCTTCATCTATTCCCCTCAAAGAGCCTCATGGCTCCCTTTCTCCCCTCTCTTCCCGTGCCCCTTGAGAGGCTCACTCTCATGAAGAATCTCACCTCTCGCCGACTGCCTACCTCTGTATTTGTGTCTTTCTCTCTCCATTCCGCAAGTGCTTTTCTTTTTACCTTGAATCTACCTTTTGGTTTTTCTCTTTTCCCTTTACCTGCTATTCTCACTCACTAACTGATAATAATCTTGGCTGGATTTGTGTTTATTCAGAAGTTAGGTTTTTTCCACAAAGATAGCTTATTACATATATATAAAATTTTGAGAACTATTTTGTAAAGTTTTCCTATAAATATATCAATAATGTAATGTTTGCTAAAACACGTGATTCCCTTTAGAGCACAGAAATATGAGGACTTTCCTGAAAAATGTTAATTGAGCATTTTTTTAATATACATTCTTCTCAAGTGCACATGGGTCATTTTCAAAGATAGACCATATATTGGGTCATAGGCAAAGTCTCTTCAAATTCAAGAAGATACAAATCATATCAAACATCTTCTCAGATCACAATGGCATAAAACTGGAAATCAACTACAATAAAAACAATCCAAAAAAATCAAACACCTGGAGACTAAACAGCATGCTATTAAATAATGACTGGGTTACCAGAGAGATCAAAGAAGAAATTAAAAAAATCATGGCAACAAACGACAATGAAAACACAACAATCCAAAATCTATGGGACACAGCAAAAGCAGTCTTGAGAGGGAAGTTCATAGCTCAACAAGACTCCTGCAAAAAAAACAAGAAACAATGGTAATACAATAAATTACTTAACCCTATAACTCAAATAGAAAGTGAGCAAAAACAAAAGCTCAATATAAGCAGAAGGAAGGAAATAATAAAGATCAGAGCGGAGAAAATTACATAGAGACAAAAAAAAATACAAAAGATCAGCAAAACCAAGAACTGGCTCTTTGGCCAGACCCGGAGCAGCTGGTTGTGGAATGAACCAGAGCAACAGAGGCCAGGCCCGGAGCAGCCAGGCCCGGAACAGCTTGCTCCTCGCCTGCCCCTGCCCCACAGCTGCCTGTCAGACATGGCTGGAAACTTTTGCGGGAACTTGAGGGTCTGCTGAATCAAGTGATGAAGGCTTAGATCTGGATGTGTTGAGTTAGTGTAGTGCTGGGGTATTGATCTGTGAGTGCCTTGGGTGGGGCCTGGATGAGGCTGGTTGACCTATTTGGAAATGTCTTTTGTGTGAAGTGTATCATTGGGCATGTGGAGGTATTATTGATATGAGAAAATGCTAAGTAACTAATTTACTATCTGAAAAGGGATTTACTATCGGGGAAAGGGAGGGAGGAAGAGACTGAACATAAACTGTGCACCTATGGATGAAGACAATGGGGGATGGGGAGGGGGCGGAGGGTGGGGTGGGAACCTGGTGGAGGGGGGAAGAAATGAGGAACCTTTGTAATAATATGAACAATAAAGATTGATTTTTAAAAAAAAAAAAAAAAAAAAAGAACTGGCTCTTTGAAAGGATAAACAAAATTGATGAACCTCTAGCCAGGCTCACCAAAAAGCAAAGAGAGAGGACCCAAATAAACAAAATCAGAAATGAAAGAGGAGAAATAACAACTGGCCCCACAAAAATACAAAAAAAAAAAAAAATACTATGAACAACTTATTCCAACAAACTGAACAACCTGGAGGACATGGACATATTCCTAGAAAAATAAGACCTTCCAACACTCAATCAGGAAGAATCTAAAAAGCTCAATAAGCCAATAACTATGAAAGAAATTAAAGCAACCAAAAAGCTTTCAGCAAACAAAAGCCCACGGCCAGATGTCTTCACAGTGGAGATTTATCAAACATTCAAGGAAGAACTAAAACCTATCCTCCTCAGACTATTCCAAAAAATTCAAGAGGAAGGAACACTTCCAAGTGCATTAAATGAAGCCAGCATCACCCTAATACCAAAGCCAGATAAAGACAGCTACACTGAAAGAGAATTACAGGCCAATATTCCTCATAAACATAGATGCCAAAATCCTCAACAAAATTCTGGCAAATCAGATCCAGCAGTACATCAGAAAGATCATACATCATGAACAAGTAGGATTTATCCCAGGGATGCAAGGATTGTACAATATTCACAAATCAATAAACATGATACATCACATAAACAAAATGAGAGGGAAAAAAACAGTCATATCAATTGATGCAGAAAAGACATTGGACAAAATCCAACACCCTTTCTTGATAAAAACTCTCAGCAAGGTTGGAATAGAAGGATCATACCTCAATATAATAAAAGCCATGTATGACAAACCCAAAGCCAAATCATATTCAAAGGGCAAAAACTAAAACCATTTCCCCTAAGAACAGGAACAAGACAGGGATGCCCACTCTCACCACTCCTGTTCGACATAGTACTAGAAGTATTAGCCATTGCGATTAGACAAGAAGAAATAAAAATTGGAAAAGAAGAAGTAAAACTGTCCTTATTCACAGATGAAATGATATTGTACATAAAAATCTCTAAAGACTCCATCAAAAAATTATTAAACTTAATCAATGAATTCAGCAATATAGCAGGATACAAAATTAGTGCCAAGAAATCTAAGGCATTTCTATACACAAACAGTGAACTTACAGAAAGAGAGACTAAAAAAGCAATCCCATTTACCATCACACCAAAAAAATTAAGATACCTAGGAATAGCCGAAACCAATTTGGCTCAGTGGTAGAGCGTCGGTCTGCAGACTGAAAGGTCCCAGGTTCAATTCCGGTCAAAGGCATGTACATTGGTTGCGGGCACATCCCCGGTGGGGGGTGTGTGGGAGGCAGCTGGTCGATGTTTCTTTCTCATCGACGTTTCTAGCTCTCTATCCCTCTCTCCTCCCTGTAAAAAATCAATAAAAATATATTTTAAAAAAAAAAAGATACCTAGGAATAATCCTAACTAAGGAGGTAAAAGGCCTATACACAGAAAACTATAGGACACTGAAAAAAGAGATAGAGGGAGACATAAACAGATGGAAGAACATACCATGTTCATGGATTAGTAGAATTAACATAATTAAAATGTCCATACTACCCAAAGCAATCTATAGATTAAATGCACTCTCCACTAAAATACCAACGGCATATTTCACAGACCTAAAAAGAACTCTCCAAAAATTCATCTGGAATTAAAAAACAAAAAACAAACAAAACAAAAAAAACCCTCGAATAGCTGCAGCAATCCTGAGAAAGAAAAACAAAGTAGGTGGGATTCAATACCAGATTTCAAGCTGTATTACAAAGCCACTGTTCTCAAACGTCCTGGTAATGGTACAAGAACAGACATATAGACCAACGGAATAGAATTGAGAACCCAGAAATCAACCTAAACCACTATGCACAATTAATATTTGACAAAGGAGGCAAGAGCATACAATGCAGTGTCTTCAATAAATGGAAAATTGGACAGATACATGCAAAAAAATTAAAATAGACCACCAACTGACACCATAAAGTCAAAATGGATAAAGGACTTAAATGTAAGATTGGAAACCATAAAAATATTAGAGGAAGCCACAGGCAGCAAAATCTCAGGCATGCTGAAGCGATTTCTTCACCGATATCGCACCTACGGCAATGGAAACTAAAGAGAAAATAAATGGGACTACATCAAAATAAAAAGCTTTTGCACAGCAAAAGAAACCATCAACAAAACAACAAGAAAGCCCACTATATGGGAGAACATATTTTTCAATGTTATCACTGATAAAGGTTTAATCTCCAACATTTACAGGGAACTCATACAACTAAATAAAAGGAAGATAAATGATCCAATAAAAAAAAAATGGGCAACAGCCTTAAATAAATACTTTTTGAAAGACAGGATGAAGGCCAAGAGACATATGAAAACATGCTCAAAGTCACTAATTATCCAAGAGATGCAAATCAAAACAACAATGCGGTACCATCTCACACCTGTCAGAATAGCTATCATCAACAAATCAACAAATGACAAGTGTTGGCAAGGATGCAGAGAAAAAGGAACCCTCGTGCACTGCTGGTGGGAATGCAGACTGGTGCAGCCACTGTGGAGAAGAACAGTATAGAGTTTCCTCAAAAAACTAAAAATGGAACTCCCATTTGACCCAGTAATCTCACTTCTAGGAATATATCCCAAGAAAGTAGAAACACCAATCAGAAAGGATATATACACCCCTATGTTCATAGCAGCACAATTCACCATAGCTAAAATTTGGAAACAGCCTAAATGCCCATCAGCAGTTGAGTGGATTAGAAAACTATGGTACATCTAACAATAGAATACTACACGGCCATAAAAATTTTAAAAAGAAGGAATTCTTACTATTTACAGCAGTATAGATGGAACTGGAGAGCATTATGCTAAGTGAAATAAGCCAGGCAATGAAAGAAAAATACCACATGATCTCACTCATTTATGGAAAATAGAGGACATTATAACCTGATGAACAAAAGATAGATACAGAGACAGCAAAGCATTGAACAGACTGTTAAATTACAGTGGGAAGGCTGTGGAGTATTGGGGAGGGGGGAAAGACAGCAACCAAAGGACTTGTATGCATGCACTTAAGCACAACCAATGGACACAAGACACTGGTGGCGGGGGGGGGGGGGGGATGAGGGCATGCGACAGGGATAGGGGAGGCTGGGGGAAGGTCAATGGGGGGGGGGGGTAAGGACATATATGTACTACTATATGTAATACTTTAAACAATAAAATAAAATTTAAACAGAAAACAGAAAAAAAAATACTGCCACTCCAAAATTGCCAGCTCAAATCCAACCAACCCTCCTTTTTACCTCTTTCTCTCCCTTTTTCAGTTTTCTACCAGGGTCCAACCTCCAGGCATTGCTGCTTCTATCTAGGAAGGTATCTCTGCATCCTGGTTGCCAATGGCCTCTGTCTCCTTGGCTTCTCCTGTCCCCTGCTTTTGTGTTCTTCTTTCTGGCGATGCTCTCCAGCTCAGTCCTTGATAGCTCTATTTTCCTTCCCAAGTCTTTTCCTCTGCACCTCCCCACCTATATGCCAGGCTCCCTTCCTGTTCCCTCTGTCCCTGTGATTTTCCCCACTTAACCCACAGAAACAAAAGATGCGCTTTTTATTTTTATCAATGTCTTCTGGCAGTGGAAAGAGGGTGATGGGAAGTGACAGCTTAAAGGATATGGCATTTCCTTTTGAGGGGATCAAATTATTTTGGAACTAGATAGAGGTTATGCTTGCACAATGTTGCACACTTTTCAATGGTTGATTTTATGTTATGTGACTTTTACTTCCATTTAAAAAGGAATAAAGAACAGATTCATCCTTGCTTATTTGAACCCAGGCCAATTATATACATGGTCTCTTGAGGATTTCAGTTTTCTTATGTGCATAATAGGCACGTAGTGATACTAACCTTTAAATGCAGCTGTGAGCACTGAATCCACTACTACCAGATAGATGTTCAATCAAATGAGCTCTCAATAATGTTATTTTTATCCCTTCTTACTGTCTTTCATTTCTCCTCTTTCTTCCTCTCTCTCTCTCTCTCTCTCTCTCTCTCTCTCTCTCTCTCTCTCTCTCTCTGTGCCCACATCCCTTTCCCCACAGTTACCACTTCCTCTTTTTTCTATATGACAGCCTTTCTTCTTGCATATTTCTGTTCTTAAATAACATCCCCCACATTTAAATCTGCCCCTTTTTCCATCCTCAAGGTTGATGTTGACTATGGGCCCATAGTTCTTAGCCCTTCACAGCTTCACACTGACGGTCTCCTATGAAAACTCATAATTTACACTTGAGATCTTAGTCCACCCTCCAGGTTACTGGGCAGAGAGTCTCTCTCTGCCACCTCTTGCTAATACCCGTGGATTCTACACAGAATCAGGTCATTTTGGAATCAACTCAAAGTAACACATGTCTACCCACCCCATGTTCCCTTGGCATCCCAGCACCACCATCTCCTTTTGGTTCCTTTATCTATTTTTCTTCTTAGTCATAAGAAAGCAAAGTTTGTGTCTTCTCATAATTACCTCGTTCACATCTTGGCTGAGTGCTGGGCATTTTGTATGTCTCTTCTCTATCACATTCCCAGGAAAAATGTTTGTCTTCAATCACTGAGCAGAGGGGGGGGGGGGGGAAATAGAGGTTGCAGGTAGGTAATTAGGAACATCACCTCATAATTACGTATCTGGGTCACCCATAAATCCATGCCTTTGAAGGGGGGGACTTCTGGCCTTTGGGTCAGTGAATCTCAGTGTTTCCTGACTTGGTGTTGCTTATCCCTCTCCCTGGGGCAATGAAGAGGGGAGGGGGGAGAGGGGGGAAACAACACCTAAATTCTACGGTGATGAGTTTTGGGTTTTAAGGATGGTGGTGAAACTGGAAAAGTTACTAAAGTAATTAATCACCCAACAAGATGACCAGAGAGGAGTAAAAACATTCTCCATATGAATGCTATAAGTGGAATGTCTCTGTGAACTGTACAACCTTTAGAAAAGAACAGAGGAATTTTCTCAGTAAGAGAGCTAGTTATTCCTGAAGAATCAAAAAAGGACATTATTATACCCAAATTAAGCCCTAGCACAGTAGTCACTTGGCAGGTTATTTTACATGGCAGTTTTGTCCACAATTACTTCCATTCATACTGCCTAGCCTAGGGCCTGGAACATGGTAAGCATTTCATAAATATAATACTTGTTAAATGAGTGACTAAGTTAATGAATAAATGAAAAATAGACTTCAACCCCAAAAGGGAGGGAAGAAAATTGATCACCATTTTTGAAGCTTCTGTGAACCTGAATTAAGTCAGGATACTCCTTCAGATGAACCCTGCTGAACAGAGCTTGCAGAAGTGACCGATCAAACATCTTCTCGAGGTGGCAGAGAATATGATACACCACTCTTCCTACAGGAACCAAGTCTTCACAGGCTTCTTGAGAATCCTTTTAAAGAGCACAATGGAAAAAAATATATAAAGTGATTGTTTTAAAGTTAAACAACCATCAAGGAAGTAATTGCATAGGAATTAGTTTACTTTTTCAGTATAGATTATAATTTTCATGTCATATTTTAGAACTTCTAATATATTTGGTCAATTGCTTAAAATCACAAATGGAGCCTTCCTCTTGACTTTTGTACTTTCATCCTGCCTATGCTGTTTGTTTCAAGAATGGATCTTTGTACAGCAACTGCGGGTATGAGAAGTTCTGATAAGACTTTTAAGGTGCAGGGAAATGCACAAAGCACAATCACACGGTGAAGAGTTAAACTCATTCTCTATTTCCAAGAGGATCCACTAATCAATTTTGCTTGAATTCCAAGACTCCCAAACCACCTAATAAAATTTAAACACTTTGGAGGAGACAACAACAAGACTGAAATTTGATTTATAATGGCACAAATTCCCTGTGGATTTCATTTTAAATAAGTGGATGTGATAATGGAATACTGTCCCAATTCTTTCAATTATTTTAATTTCCTTTCATTTTGCTATCTTGTGTAAATTGCTATGTATCTGCAAAGCATATCAGTTTCAATCCAACCATTTCACCATTACCCTCCACCCCACACACATACCCCAACATGCCCCACAGACAAGAAGGACTTCATGGGCACAGATAATAGTGTGATGAAGGCCTGGGACGGTGGAGGGGGGTCAATGGGAAAGAAAGGGGACATCTGTAATACTCTCAACAATAAAGATACATTTTTTAAAAAGAAGAGAAGGGCTTCAATTAAAATAGAAATGTTAGTGATATCTTCTTGCCCTGTCACTCTCAACCTTACAGGATGATTAATTTAATAGAGTCCATTGCCATTGTCCCACATCACGTGTGGTTCAGGGTTCAGGTTCAGACTCTGGAGGAGGCTATGTGTAAATGAAAGAGACAAGACAAGAAATAATAATTTGGAAATTGGGGGCCAGGCAGAAGCCCAAGAAAGGACTCCGCTTTGCTCTGGCCCTGCCATCCCTTTTATTCAGGTTTGGGATACACCCATAACCCTTATGCAGGCAATTCCAATAACAGGAAGACTATCTTATCAATAAGGATTTACATAACTATCTGCTGGGGAAGTTGCTTCAGCCACCATTTTCTCGACTAAAAAGTGGGGGCATAGTTCTGATCTTTGCCAGAACTTTAAGGGTCACCAGCCTTCTGGGATCCCTGTCCACACTTCTCTGATAGTAAAGACAATGGGTAGCTTCCCACATCCCATGAAAACTATGAAGGGCTAGATTTTTAATCCAGGATGTCAAACATAAATTAATGTGAGGCTGGGGTACCAAGAAGAGATATGATTCACTTCTCTTACATTATAGAGCTCTTCAGTGATGAGGGAGTGGTCTCTGAGGCTCTCAAGGAAAGGAAACGGCTTCGTTATTGCATTCGCTATCTCCACCTTATTTTTCCTGAAGTGAGTCAAGAGAATTTCATGGGAAATTGTCTCTTTATGCTGAGCTGTTGAAAACATCCTAAGGGAACAAACAGAATGAGAAAATTAAATATTAAGATTCAAGACTTATGTGGTCATCATTTCCCAGTGTATACAAATGTCAAAGTATTATGTTGTAGACCTGAAACCAACATAATGTTATATGTCAATTATACTTCAATTTTTTTTTAATCTTCAGAATTCAGATTGTGAAGAAGAAAGGCTTTAGAAGAAATAACAAGAGATAGGTGTTGGTCATGAAGAGTGGGAAAGAAAAAGATGCTTCGATCCCATCAGACCCACATATAGAAGACAAAGGCAGAACTAACTCTGAAAAATTCTGCTTGATCAACATAAAGAACATATGTAATAACAAGACTGACATGTGACACTTCTGACCCCACAGAAACAGAATAGATTATTCAAGGCCTCAAACACTCTGACGCAGAGGAAGATTCAAAGCTGAGGATAGCATTACTGAGGTGATCGTCTCTGTAAGCTTCACCAAAAATGGAGTCAGTTCAGGATTCTGTATTGAGGGGTGAGTATGAGCTGAGACAGCAGTTTATCATTCAGAGGAAAAGACTTCCTGGGCCTGAATTCAAAGACAGAAGTCAGTGGCAGCTGAACTGCCCACAGGTTTTTCTCCTGTGAATGAGAACTGGAAGCAAAAAGCAGGTGCCTGCAAACTTCAGGTGGGAACATTCATTCCCAGCTCCTGATGTTTTCTGTCCGGGACAAGGGGAGTGAGGGGAGACATCAATCAGTGTGACACTCCTAGTTTCTTCCTGCACCCTTCTCCCCATGAAAGGTAAGTTCTTAGATGTTTCTAAAGGAACACAAGCTAAGAGGAGCCAGCCTTGGGGTACAGACTAGGCCTCTAGACTGATGCTTCAGGTCAGTCATTGTAAGAGCTGGCAGGTTTCCTCCATTGTCATTTTGATTAATAATAAGAGAGATGTTTCTTTTGACCTCACTCATTTATGGATAATAAAGAACATTATAAACTGATGAACCAAAAGATAAATATAGAGACAGTAAAGCAACAAGCAGACTGTCAAATTACAGTGGAGAGGGGAGGAAGATCTGGGGGAGATAATAGATCAACCGAAGGACTTGTATATATGCATATAAGTACAACCAATGGACATAAAACTCTGGGGAGGGAGGGTATGTGTGGGAGGGAGGGAGGTGGGCAAAAAAAATCAATAAAATATATTAAAATAAATAAATAAATAAATAAATAAATAAATAAATAAAATAAGAGAGATGTTATGATCTCCAACTACCTGACTTCTTATCTCTCTCTTAAATGGCTCTAAAATCAAGCACATTTAAAGTGTTATTGTGGGGCTCCCTTGAGTCCCCCAAAAACCAACTGAAATATGTAGCTATAAGTCTTTGCTCAGGAAGGTGCCCGTTATAAATGAAATCTCCCTAGACAGGTCCAACACTGATTCACCATTGTGTGTGCCAGAGCACAAAGCTCAAAGGACAATTGGAAATCAAGAAGTGTTAGATATCAAGGCTTAATAATGGGAGGGGACATCATGGAAAATGGCCAAGTGGAAAACACCAGGAATTTGTCTCTCCATTTAGGCAACAACTTTACTTGCAGAAAGTGTCTGAAGTCACAATTTTGGAACTCTGTTGAAATGCTTTTAACTTCCAGGAGAAAGCATGACTGGTAAAGTGATTGATTCTGGCTAATTTCAGCCTCTAGTGCTGTACTGGTTACCTACTCCTTTCCCCTCCCCCCCAACTCCCACCTCCATTCTAGTGGCAGGCAGATATGGCTTGCTAGAGCCAAGTGGACAATAAGGAACCAGTCCCTCAAACATCAGGGCTCTGTTTTCTGATTACTGCTCACTGCTTTCCTCCTCTGAGTTTCAGGCACAGAGACAGGCAGCCATTATTGCAATTCACTGGCGGAGGTGGTTTTCTGGGGATTTAAAGTGTTGGAGAGTGGGAATTTTTGAGAGACTGTGGACTATGCCCAAGATAGAGTTGTCAGTGCTGACACTAAACCAGGCCTTGAGATACGAACTCATGGCCCCTTCCCAACATGTGGGCCTTCTTTCATAGAACACTGTCAGCTTTCTGAAAAAACAGGATGAGCCTGTAAATAACATGGTCTTCAATGGCATGACTCTGACCTTGCTTGGGAAAACTGTTTTACTGGGTTGCTTGTTCTGCAAAAACAGGATGTGGTTAATGTGCTTAAAAGTGATTCTACACAAAGGTCGCTGATGCTCTCTGGACTTCCTGCATGAAGAACAGCAGAGCAGTCACCAGGTCGCCCAGCCCAGCTAATAAAGGCTCTCTAATTTTTAATTTGGTCTGAGCTTCAGTGGTTGTTCATTCACGTTCACTCCACAACAAAAGGGGCTACACCTGTATTTCTTTATTTTATTATTATATTTTTTATTTTTTTCCTTTCTCCCTTTTTGGAAGCCAGACATGTAAGATTAGACATTCAAAATCAATCACACACACAAGGCAATTTAGAAAACCATTGCATGACGTAACCAGTTTGGCTCAGTGGATAGAGCATCAGCCTTCGGACTGAAGGGTCCCAGGTTCGATTCCGGTCAAGGGCAAAAAAAAGAAAAGGAAACCATTGCACATGCCCATAGACAGATACAGGCTCAAAAAAGATAGGAAAAGAACATAAGCTTTCTCCTTCAGCTGATCCCCAGCACAGAGATATTCTTCAACAATTAAAAAATAATAATAAAAAGAAAGCAAATCCACCTATAATAGCATCTAAAAGAAGTAAATACTTAGGAGTAAATCTACCCAAGACATGAAAGATTTGCATACTGAAAACTATGTTTTGCATACAAAACATCCTTGAAATAAATTAAAGAAGGCCTAAGTGAATAGAAAGACATCCCATGTTCATGGATTCGAAGACATACATTGTTAAGAAGTGACTGCTACTGAAAGCACTCTACAAAATCATCACAATCCCTATAAAATTCCAAGAGCCTTTTTCACAAATAATGGAAAAGCTGGTCCCTCAAATTCCTATGGAATTTAGCCAAAACAATCTTTAAAAAGAAGAAAGTTGGAAGACCCACATTTCCCAACTTTAAATGTGGTATAAAGCTACAGTATTTAAAACAGTATCGTACTGGCAAAAGGACAGAAATATGGATCAATGAAATAGAATAGAAAGACCAGCAATAAACCTTCATGTATATAATCAATTGCTTTTCAACAAGGGTGTCAAGACCATTCCATGAGAAAAGGATAATCTTTTCAACACATGATGCAAAAAAAAAAAAAAAAAAAAAAAAAAAAAAAAAAAAAAAAAAAAAAAAACTGAATACCCACATGCAAAAGAATAAATTTGGGCCCATACCCTACCCCATATACAAAAATTAACTCAAAATTGATCATAGACCTAACCTGAAGATGCAAAGTTATATAAAGCCTTTAGAAGAAAACATGGAGAAAATCTTCATGGCACTAGAGTTGGCAATGATTTCATGGATGTGACACCAAAAGCACAGACAGCAAAAGAAAAATTAAGTAACTTGAACTTCATCAAAATTAAAAATATTGTACAGCAAAAGACACTTTCAAGAAAGTGAAAAGACAACTTACACAATGAGAGAAAATACTTGCAATTCGCATATCTGATAAGAAGTTAATATTTAGAGTCCACAAAGAACTTCCAAAACAACAAAGAACTCTATTCAAAAATGGGCAAAGGATTTGAGGAAACGTTTTTCCAAAGAAGGTATGCAAATAGCCAGTAAGCACATGAAAAGATGCTCAACATCATTACTCATAATGGGAATGGAAATCAAAACCACAATGAGATATCACTTCATTCCTATAGCATGGCTATAATAATTTTTTTTTTTTTAGTTTTTTTAAACAAACCCACACACAAAAAAGAACAAGTGATAGATCCTCCCTTCCCCTAACTGATGGACGGAGTATGACGTAAACTGCACCTGAGCACCTAACCAGGCACCTTATGTGGACTGTACATTGAACCACCAATCAGAGCATGCCAAATAGACTAAGCCCTCCATTCCTAAGGACCTACGTGCCTATTCATGTGCCCTATATGAAACCACCAATCACGTGTGCCAATACCTTAAGCCCCATCCCTTTCCGTTCCTCCCCTCAAAAGGCGGTTTCCCCTCTGCATGTGCTGCTACTCTCCCCTGCGAAACAGCCCGGCAGGGGTCCTTCTCCTCTAATAAAGCCTGTAGTCCTGGTTTTCGGCCCTCTGTCTCATCTTTCAACAAGTATTGCCCTCGCTGGTGTGGCTCAGTTTGTTGAGTGCTGTTCCCATGCAGCAGGATGTCAGGGCACACGCTGGGGTTTCCGGGCTGGATCCCCAGCAGGGGGTATGCAGAAAACAGCGAATTGATGTTTCCCTCTCTCTCTCTCTCTCTCTCTCTCTCTCTCTCTCTCTCTCTCTCTCTCTCTCTCTCTCTCCCAATCAATTAATAAAAACATATTTTTAAAAAGAAAACTAACAAGTATCAGCGATGATGTGCAGAAATTGGAATCCTCATACACTGTTGGTGGGTATGTAACGTGGCACAACCACTGTGGAAAACAGCTTGGTAGCTCCTCGAAAAATTAAACAGAACCACCATATGACCTAGCAATTTCCCTTCTAAATATATATCCAAAAGATAAGTACACAAAGTAAAGAGGTGGGGTGAATGTGGTCTTGTAGATAACTCGTGTGCCGAAGAATATCAGGAACTTTTGGGAGCCTCATCTGGACTTCTTACTCTGCAGGCTCTGACCACGAGCTAAGACCCATGTTAGGCATGTCTTAGCTCATGTCTGCTGGAAGCCTAACATGTCTGCTGGAAGCCTGGCTTCCCGGGCTGGGCTCCTCCCCGCCCTAAACTCAGCCACACCCTGGTTTGGCTCTTAAACCGAATAGTTTAACAGAAAACCAAAGTGACGAGATTCAAACTGAACAGGACGTCCTGTCTCTAGCTCCTCACTCATCTTCCCCAAAGGAGGGAAACCTGATCTGTCCCGGCCCCCCCTGGGCCACTGCAGCCGCAGGCAGCGGTTGGGCAGCACAGAGGTCAGGAGAGGGGGTTTGCCACAGTAAACACCGGACACAAAAGCGGGCGGCCTCCTCTGGCTTGCACAAGGGCTCTTTCGGGAAGTCAGCCGCTGGCACCGGCCGCGGGCTGAGAGCCCAGCCACTTTCCCAGAGCACCCTCCACCTTGTCGGGTGACCTCAAGCAGAACGCTCTCTGTACTAAAGCCATGCTATTGTGAAAGTCTGAACATGCTTTGGACCCAGATAGTAAACAGCCGCTGCCCCGAGGCCCTTCCAGAGCCTCCCGCATGTCCCTCCCCGCAGCCCCTACCTCACAGACCACCCCAGTCAGGAAACTAACGGAAGGGGGTCCTCCGGGCACTGGATCCAACAACCTTCGGTGAGAATCAGTTTTCATCAGAAGTACAGTCTCTACTACCGGGTTGTTTTTTGTCCTAATTTTAGCAAGTGAAACTTCATTTCAAATTTGCATTTTAACGTTTGCTTCTCTCTGTACCCAGGCCCCTCTCCAGGTTCTACAGTGGTCTACACTGCCCTCTGGTGGCAGAATGTTGATATTGCAAGTCCCCTGTAGAAATATCTTGACCCTTTCCCCTCCCCATCTGAATTCATCCTGTTGTCCCTTCATGGGGAGGAGTAGAACTCTCTTCTCAAACCTCTAACCAAATAGTTCAAAATTAAGATTGGAAGTACCATATTTCCTTACAATTAAGGGTGAAATAGCATCAACAACTGGTGCACGATATGGTTGTTCTGTTTGGCTGTTCATATGCCCATAAATGGGTTTATGACCTAAACTGAGAAGCTGTAGTTCAAATTGTGAGGGACGCTCTGTGTGTTTGACTCTTTCTAGACCTCTTCTGAGCTGTCCCATTTCCTAGGTACCTGAGGTCTTCATCGGGCCTAGGACTCCCCAAGGACAAGGCATCTGCCCCCACAGGCTGGTGTGCCCGGAGATTGCAGAGCCCGTGAGGTGCACCTGACAGCCTCCCCAGTGTGCAGAGCCTGCTGGCTTCCACTGGCTTGCCCCTCCAGATTCTCTGCTCAGTGAGTGCTTCCTGCAAGGCGGCTTGAACAGCGGCAAGAGGGGCTGGGCAGGGGCGCAGAGGATGGGCCAAGACCCAACCATGTGCCCACTGCAGCCTTGAGGCCCACAGTTCCTTTCAAGGTGCACAAATTCATGCACTGGGCCCCTAGTTATTAATAATAGGAAAGGAGAAAAGGGAAGATCCAGACATTATGGCCATATTCCCGGCAAAACACTGGGGGAGGGATCCAACAAAGGGACAATAGACTCCTACTCAGTAAAGTTGAGATGACATAGGGAAGGTATTTGCATGTCAGTCACACCTGGGGAATAGAGATGGTTAGCCAGAATGGGCATGGCCACTGCAAATACTCGGAAGTTTGGGATATATAATCCCCTGAAAAAAAGAAGTTTACTCTCTCTCGAAATCTGGGACTGCTGGCTCCTAACCGCTCACCTGCCTGCCTGCCTAATCACCCCTAACTGCCTCTGCCTGCCTGCTTGATTGCCTCTAACCTCTCTGCCTGCCTGCATGATTGCCCCTAACTGCTCTCCCCTGCTGGCCTGATCTTGCTCCCAAGGGCCCTCCCCTGCTACCCTGATCACACCTCTGCCTCGGCCCCCACCACCATGGCTTTGTCCAGAAGGAAGTCAGACATCCAAAAGATTGCTGGTCAACCTGGCCTAACTGGCATATTACCCTATAAATAGATTATACAGGATAGGATTGCTTAAATGGGGGGGGGGGGGAGAGGGGGTATTTCAGGGGAGATGCTCTTGGCAGACAAAAGTACATAATCCCTATATCTGGACTGAAAGCCAGCCAAAAGCACTACACTGCCAAACTGGTCATTAAAAAGTTGAACCGCTTTCTTACACCTTACACCAAACAGCTGTTTCCCTTAAAACCCCTCCTCAGCCCCACCTTAGGTTCTGCATCCGAAGTTCAATCAGATTAGGTTCTAACTGGTCAGTTACTATGCCAGTCAGCATCAAAAGCTCCACCTCCTAGGCAGCCATTGGCTCCTTGCACTCCACCCAGATTTGGTTCTGATTGGTCAGTTTCTATGCCAGTCAGCATCTCCAGGCCTATCTCTGGGTCTGATCAGAGAGGTGGGGCTGGTCAGCAGAAAGAGAGGCAAAGGCTGATCAATAGTTTCCACAGAGACTATGGTTCAGACCCTGCTTCTCTCTCCAGGCCTGATCTGCAGCCCCCTCAGCAGTCAGTGCTGGGTTGCTGTGTCCACAGCACTGATTGCAGGACTGACTTCTGGTCGTTTGAGCCTTTGGTCATTTTGGAGGTTATGGACCCTGGGTTTTTATATATTAGGATTTGTGGAGAAGACAATTCAATTAGGGTTTGTATGTACTCTTGGCAAGGGGGATTTGGAGCCAGAGAAGCAGTGTGTGCTTTCAAAAAAAAAACAAACAAAAAAAAAAAACCTTGTCTCCTTTTATTTTATTTTATTTTTTTTTATTTGTTTGTTTATTTATTTATTTATTTATTTATTTATTTATTTTGTTAGTCTTAGGAATTGGGAATGATAAAGATGGAGGGGGGAGGATTTGAACTACTTCTAGAGCCACATTTCTGGTTTTGCAAAAATTTGTATAATAGGGAAAATTGCTCTCAAAATTGGATTGTAATTTAATGATACTATAGTTTGACCTACCTGTCTAACTACACAATCCCACATTTGCTTCTTTTCCTCTGAGTATATAGTTTTATTTTCACTTTGAGGAGGAGGCAAAGTCCTCCCTGGGTTGAAGAAATCCTTTAATTATTGCCCTTAAGTTGGCCTTGGACCAAGGAGTGAAAGATATACAAGGACAATCACCTGTAAATCAGTTTTACAGTCTGATGTTTTAGATACTTTTTTATCTTTCAATTAAGCTATTTAAGCTTTTTCTTTAACATATCTAATTAATATTGCTTGAAGAGTGTATTTATATTTTCTGTTTAAAGTATTAGTCAAGGAAATGTTTCTCAGTTAGACACAATGTCTACTCCACATTACAATCAAGTAAAAGAAATGCAATCCAGAGTATAAAGCCTATCCAGAGTATAACAATTCATCTGTAATTTTTTATCTTAATTCCATCAACTCTTAAATTCTTAACTACAGCCCCATTAGAACTTTATCAATGATTTTTATCATAAAGACCATGCTCTCAGGCCATAAAAAGACAAAAGCATAGATACCAGACAAAGACAAGAGAAAAACAAAATTAACAAAACCCATGAGTACTCATACCAAATAACCAAGAATCATTAAGACCAAGAATCTAGTTTTACAAATATTTTCTCCTGCTAATTGTGGACAAAGGGGGGGGGGGGGAGTGATTCTATAATAAAACTGATAAGTTCAATAGAGGCAACCTTATAAGGTATCTGATCATAAATTGCCAACTGTCCAGGTTATGGTGGGTGGTCCCACCCCAGGCCTATAACTTTTTTAGTAAAAGTTTTATCTTTGTTTAAACAAGCCCTATCTCTTGTTCTTGTGCGTCTTGGTAAAAACATCTTTGAAATGCTGGAATTTCAAAGCATAGCCATCCTAAAGAGAGCACATATCGAGTTAACTATCCTGTTAATCCAGTTTTCACCTGGCTTTCTTCCACCATTGTTTAAGCTTCCTTACATCCCCTCCTTAATTCCAAATGTGTAAAAGAACTACAAACTGTCATTATATATATATATATATATATATATATATATATATATATATATATATATAATTGATTTTTTTTAGAGAGAGGAAGGGAGAGAGATAGAGAGCTAGAAACATCGATCGGCTGCCTCTTGCACACACACACACACACACACACACCCCACACACACACTGGGGATGTGCCTGCAACCAAGGTACATGCCCTTGACCGGAATTGAACCCGGACCCTTCAGTTCGCAGGCTGGCGCTCTATCCATTGAGCCAACCCTGTTTCGGCAAACTGTCATTCTTGGGAGCATCTGAGACTTTGATTCCCTGCATTGTTGTCAGTTTGGCTCAAACAAAATATTATAAAATTTCTTACAGTCTCGGATGTTCCTTAGGATATAACAAGAAGACAGATAGCAGACAGACAGAGAAAAACAAAATCAGCATTTACTTGGCAGAGTCAGCCCACCCAGGACCACCTTGGTAACGCAGTGTCAGGCCCATTGTGCCCCCACCGGCTCCCTGCTTCACGTTGGGTAGGAAATCCCGGAGGTGGGTAAGGGCTGAGAAAAGGTAAGGACAATAAAAGTGGGTGGCTGCTTTTAACTTCAGCTTTTTAATTGGATCACTTACTGAACAAAATCGTTGCTGGTTAAAAGAGAAAGAAAACTCTCGCTCCCCAAAAGGAAGGACACTTGCTTTCCCAGTCCGAATAGCCAATGGGGTGACGATAGTTGTTGCGGAGTCCAGAAACCGGAGTAGTGGAGATGGGCGCTGTGCGGCCTCCAGTGAGGTAGGTAACACAGCCAATTCTAGAAGCCAGCGGCCCCCTCGGAAAGAGTTCTTTGTGAAGGGCAGGGCACCCCAAAGAGGGGCCCATGCCTTGGAAAGCATCGTGGTTCTGGTGGCATCGAAGCAGAAGCTCTCGCTGGCCCTTGTGGGGGTCTTTTTAGATGACTAGGGATCTTGGAGGAGGTGCCTAAGGAAAAGTTTCCTCTAGTAGGGCATGAAGCAGTCTCCTAGGGATTTCCACCACATCTGGCTTTTCCAGAGACATGCACGGAAAGGCTGGTTTTCTCTAGAAATTTGTTCAGGCTCTACAGATCTCAAAGGAAAAACTAAAATTAGCACAGGGAATTTTGCCTCTGAGGCCGACAAACACCAGGATAGTCAGCCTCCTATTAAAATAAGATGGCCAACGGGAGAATTCTTTGATACTCTTAAATTAATCTTTTGCATGCACAATTTGAGAAAAAAAAATGCCAGCTATAAAATTAGAACAAATAGAAAACGTATTTTAATTGCTCTCTTTAAGTTTCAAAAAGAGGATTACTCTGGCATTTCCAAGGGGTGTTCGCCTAGATGCACAAGAACCATGGGCAGGGCTTGCTCAAGGCAGAGGTAAACATTTCACTGAAAAAAGCTACGTGCCTGGGGCATGACTTCCCACCAGGAGCTGCCCCGTTAGGAACTTTGATCAGGTCACCCTGTGAGGTGACTTCCCACCACTGCACTTCCTGTCAGCTTTACTATAGAACCCCTTGTTATCCGTATAACCTAAATTCTAAAAGGAAAAGAAAGGACTCTCATCACTCTGCCTCCACCGAACTCTGCAGGTAGAGACCTGGGAGTCTGATGTGACAAGAATTCCGATCTTTGCCTGCTCACATTAGTGGTCCAGGGACCTCTCTCCTGGAGCAGCTGAGAGGTGAGCAGCGCCCTGCCGGTG